GCTGAGGCTGAAACTAGAAGAATGTTGAAATGACGATTTATTGAATGCTGCATCCAAAATATTTGCTGACTACGTCTAGTCTAGTTAATTAAGTCTGTGAAACATATCACTCCAAATATAATTTCATATAAACCCAGATTAAATTATTTTGTACTTAAACTAATTAAGCCATCATAAACCATAATGAAAATAATGAAAATAGTGATATTGAGACGAACATCACAATATATTGAGAATTTTTGCAGCTTATAAATAAATTTAATAAATAGAATATGGTTAGCAATACATTTTTGCTTCTCCATTGAAAAAAAAGTATATTAAGGTTATGTCCATAGAATAACCGAATGGTTTGATCCTACTAATCTTTTATCTTTCTTCCGTGGAAAGTAACTGGGAATAAAATTTGCAGAACAACATATGGACTTGAATTCTGTAATAAATCGTTTCGCATCAGAGGAGCTTATTGAATTTAGTCAATGTCCTAGATATAACTATTGATTTATGTAATAATGAAGTACGAATCGATTATGTTGTTATGTGGTTAAATTAGTTGCGCTGTTCAGTTAGAAGACTTTGAAATTTTTGAAATTTTAAAATTACTTTCACTATTTTGTTCCATATAATATTATCTAGTATATTGTAAAGCAGGTGAAAAGCAATAAGTTTTGAACACAGTCGTTTCCGAGAACTACAAAAATATAATCAAATGTATTTCTTATTTTTAAATATATAAATTAGTCTGTTTTATCATACAGAAAATTTAAAATATGTAGCATATTTTGCAGTGGTTGTTTCTCAGTGATCAATTAATTTTCTTAAATTTTTGTATAATTATTTTGGAAATTGTAGCATGTGGAATCTCTATAGCGAAATTAAAGTGTCAAAATGAATAAGAATTTTAAAAAAATTGAACTATTTGGTAAAATAATGACTTCTAATACTAAAGCTTTCGCTGGTCAGGTGCATTGTTCGCTCACTAATAAGCCGTTATCTGCCACTTATGCAAAAAAAATGCGGCCAGACTTGAAAAAAAATATTTTCTCTTAAATAAACCGCTGCTGATGGTAAACGTAAACGCATCATGCCCTTTCGCTGATTGTAACCGGCATCCCAATGTGCGAGAGAGCGGTTGACCTTGATAGAGCCGTCAACCGATTGATTCTGACGTTGTTGCCACTTAATGTTTCGATTTCAAAATCGATTTTATTGATCGATACTCGTTCCTGTTGGTTAAAATATTAGGGTATATTCACAATTGTTTATTCAACATAGTATTGTTGATGAACAAATAAGTATTTAAAATTAAACAATAATTTAAAAAATCTGATTGCACAAGGATATATTAATAAGAGCCAGTGAAGAAATATTAAAAATACAAATCTTTACGGAATGATGCCGGGAAGCTAAACGTAACGAGTGCTCAAATTGAACATCCTCATTTCCCATGGTTGTTTTCAAAGGGTCTGTTCCGGATTGATTCAGCTCCTTCCTTCCCTTCCTTACAGTCTAAATTTCTAACCCACTAATTATATGTTACATGTATACAATTTCATTTTCTATTTTTCCAAAAAAATGCACTTAATTAAAGCTTAAAAATGATCCTTTCATTTTTTAACAATAAAAATATGACGTCATTTTATACAATTACTTATTCGCATATTGGAAGAGATTCGACATTATCAATAAATAAACTAAGTAGTTAGCACCGAAGCAATATTTACTGCTTGACTTCGGGCTACTGCTATGTAGAATACAGTAGCAATTGAGTTTGCATTGGTCGAACCGAAATATCTATATTTGTTTGTTTGCCAGTCAGTATCGTTTTATCCATTTTGTGATTTTAGTTATTTTTTTGAACGTTGAGAACTAATTTTCCAATAATTTGCAAATGTAAAATTCGTATGAGTTATCGTTCAAATTACCCATAAATTTTTTGTTTTACAAAACTTTAGAGCCCGATATATAACTGAACATACAAATAGTGTTTGCCGAATTTTATAAAAAGGACCACAATAGCTTTAGGATTCACGTTTATGTAGGCTGCTAGTTTTTAGACATTTAATAATGTATTAATACAAGATTTAGCGCAGAAAACAAAAGCAAAGATGTACTGGTAATGACTGAATCAAAGTAGATTTGTATATATTATTCGATGTTTTTTCCAATGATTATAATTCTTTTAGTTAATGTGATAATTTTTATTAGGCTACACAAATTTTTCTGGACCTTTTTTTTGGCCGTTGCGTACTATTAAGATCCTTTTCAGAATTTATTCAACCATCTTTAGGAAATGTTGACAATTATTATTGGCCCCCTTGCTCGTCCAGCCGGCGTGTGTATTCGCTATTGCATCTACCCATTTAAGGTTGAGTGCTTCGTAGTGCGATCGCCATCCTATGGTCGGATATGCTTCAACGGTTTCCTTGTGGGCTTCATTATTGGCAGTCGCATCTTGTTATCTGCAAGTTCGTCTTTAGCTCTTAAAAAATGTTTATGTTGTGTACTTTTTCGTAGCACCTCGACTATTGACAGTGTCTGCGTAAGTAGCTTTTTTACATTTAGCAATTTTCCGCCTTTAAATCTTTGGAATTCAACCCGAAAAGTTAAGAAAATACCATTAAAATATCAACACAAGTTCTACTGACGTTTCGATATATTATTAATAAAACGTTTTTTGATTTTTAATTATTTCAACTCGATTATATTATATTGTCTTGTTTTAATCGAATGCCCGTCCTTACCAATTAATAATTGCATTTTATCGCTGCATCGGGCGTATTTCCAACGATAAAACTAAACGATTTATTATTAAGCGTAGTCGCTTGGATAAAACCGCAAAATTGCTAGATGAACTCGACCTTTTAAAGCGGATTTCGTCTTGTTGCCACCATAAATCGATTGCCTTTAGTATTTTAACGCATATCAGATAACTATCAGTACTGAAGACTAATTTTACAGACAGAACTAATTAAAATTGTAGAGTTTTTTGTACAAAACAACTATTAATTGTACTCAAACACGATAATGTTTAAAATATATAACTGCCGGATTTTTGGTGCTGTGATCTGAGTTTTATGTTCTGCACGTTGAGTGGTCCAAATTTTTTCTTGCTCTTTTATATTTAGTTATATAAATGGGGAAATAGGGCTTTTTTATTGTTTGATACAAGGTAAAATAGTTAAAATTTCAATATACTTCTTCAGAATAGAGCAGTTTGCGTTTTTCGAAAAGTATTATTTCAATAATAACTGATATAGTATATTTCATCAATACTTTTGATTTTGTGTAAAAGGAAAAAGGATGGTAATCAAATATATGTTATGCAAATGATAAAATCCTCATTATTAGATGAAAAAACTTTGTTTATATGATCTTAAGTTATAAAAATAAACTCTGCTTAGCCATTTATACTTACCAACCATTTCTACTTACCAACATCTATCACAAAGGGATTTGCCATTTTAAAAAGGGTTAATTAATTAAAACCATCATGAAACTATTAGTAGTTATTTTACATAAACCGTCAAAAATAGTCAAAATATATTAAAACCACTTAGTTGAAATAAGCAAACTAACCAATTAAAAGTACCCGCTAACAAATAATTTAAATCTAAAAAACCTAAAGAAATAGAAAATTCGAGTAGTAGGGATAATAATGACCTTGCATTCCATTATTTATTATAATTCGTTGAACCAATTGAGTGAGATAACAACAGTATTACAGTATTGCTAACAAAATAACTGCTCATTTACCTGAGGAACAATATAACACAACACCATCAAATTTTGACGAGTATAAAACCCTGAACCAACTAACTCAGGCTTAACGAACTTTGTTTAAGCGGAAGTGCTGTTATCCGCACAAAAAACACGAGCAAATTATTATGAGGTTCATAATACCCATTAATATTCTCGTGGCGAAATAGGACCTTGTTGTATATTTTGATAATTCGTATTTTTAAGAGAATCGTTTATTGGACTATTTGCAATAACAAATTAGATAACCGCATGGTATCAACCATATTTAAATAATTACAATAGACAACTACTAGCAATTACACGCTTCAAGATCTAATCGTGGTCTTTGAACTAGGTGATTTGAATTGAATAATGAGCTCTGCGGCTATTTTTTCCTCAACATTGCGGTGCTACTATCGCTATCGTTTTACTATACTCTCGTTTGAATATATAATATTTCCTGTTTGATTTTAGCGTAATTTTCCGCCACTATTCATTTTAAAAACACGCATTCAAGCTATAATATTTTAACCAATTAACTAACCAATTAGTTTTTGCGGAGTGCAACAATCAACATGGCCGAGTTGAGTATGGGTTTAGAAGTAGTAGGTTAGTTTGTACGAAAATGTCATAGCCGCCTTAGCTAATAGATATATGGTATTATTGAATTTCAGGACTGAATCATAAAGAAAATCATACTATATACATTTCTTTTTAGAAAAAATAAAGTGATCCAAAATTACGCACCATAGTATATTTAAGGAGTTTCTAATAATAATGTAAATGGTAATGGCATTAATTCTGGTTCAATTACGGACTGCGACTTTTCTTATAACTCAATTTCAGTGACTGAAAACCTTTTATGGTAAATGGTTTGCAATTTTATATAGTATACTTGTAATTATTTCATGAATAATAATGTTTTTTACATAATTTATTATTTATTTTTTTATGGTTTTATAATCAATTGTATCATTTTATAAGATTGTGTTAAGTATTAGTACTATATGACGACTATTGCCACAACAAACAAGAAAATAAGTTTAAGGCATACCTTAATAAAAACTGCAACACGCAAGAAATCTGACTTGAGAAATTCAACTTTAATGGTTTTGAATTTTTCAGCTACTTTCATACGAACATTTTAAATGTCATAAATAATGAAAATCAAAGATTTTGTCAATAAGGCGAGTTTTTAAATTGTGAGTTAAAGAATTTGCCAAAACAAACGAACGATAATGAATCCATGTTTTAATTTTCAGAAATGGACGCTGATAGCAGTTACGGCGGCAGCGATACGGCTCAAGACTCACACACAACCCATGACGTCAACGATCACAGTTCGCACCCCAGCCATGATGAAGTGACAACCACGGCGGTCCATATAATTCCGACGGCGGTGGAAGAGCAACCATCTAACCAGTACTATCACAAGAACGAAATAACGCTACCCGTGCACTACGACGACACAGATTTTCACAGCGACAGGCAATCGAAGCCCAATCAGCCCCATTACTTAAGCACAGCAAATTTAAATATTTCCGAAAGCCTTGGTCGTCATAGTAACTTGGAAGAAATGAGTAAGAATTATAAAAGTACGAGTTACCTTAATGCTGAGTCGCCAGCCAGCATCAAGAAGAATGTGGGCATCGAGAATCCGGCTTATCAGGAAGACGAAGCTGCCAATAATGGCACTGGTGAGTGTTATTCAGGAAGCTCTATCAATACTAGACTGAACCTAATGCAGTCAATGACGAATTTGTGAGGCAAATTTTATTTAGAGGCGGAGGGGTAATAATGGGTATTCTTATGGGTTTTATATTATTTCTCACTTTTTCAACCCGTTTGGATTTTTGAAGGTAGCAATCGTAATGTAGAATAACTACTAATTTGTGTTGCATATGCAGTAAACAATATATCCGACACGGAAAGTTTAATTTTTTAGCTTAGTAAATAATTTACACTAATTGCATATTATCAAAATTATACATTACTTTGTTTTAAAAATAAATATCTCTGAAAGTGATTAATGATCCAAAAATGTTTGCAAATGAGAACTACGAGGGCAGCGCCAAAATTTCCCGACCTGAATATGAAAGAAACAAAGTAGAGTAACATGTTTTTATTATTTTTCAATATAATCTCCCTTAACTTTAATACACTTATTACATCTCTTTATTAAAAACTCAATCCTTTTAAAAAAATATTCTTTTGGTTTGACCGCAAAATGAGCTAAAACAGCCTCTTCTAACTCAACTTCATCATTAAACCGCCGTCCACGTAAACCCTTTTTCAAATATCCAAAGAAATAATAATCGCTGGGGGCCATATCTGGAATATAGGGAGGATGATCTATCTAAAATGGCAGCTTGTGCAACACCAGCAGTATGGACAGGTGCAATGTCGTGCAAAAGACGCACGCCTCTGGTCAGTTTTCCTCGACGTTTTACGTAGTCTCACAATTTAGCTAATAATTTGGCGTGATATTTACCGTTCATAGTGGTATTAGTTTCTTTAAAATCTATCAAAAGAATTCCTTCACAATCCCAAAAGATAGTGGCCATCACCTTTTTTTTTGTCTGGCAGACACTTAATTTTCTCGGTGATGCCCTTACGGCGCCACGCCATTGATTCTTTTTTCGATAGAGGGTCATAATAGAGAACCATAATTTCATCTCCCGTCACAATAATTTCTATCACAGGCTTCGGTTCCGACCCACAGAGTTCCAAAAAAGACCGCGCACACTCGACACGGCGTTGTTTTTGAATAGCCGAAAGGTTTTTAGGAACCCATCTTGCACTAAACTTATGCATACCTAAATGACCACTTGTATCAGAAAGCTTAGTAATTTCTGAGATTTCCTTGACCTTTAAACGTCGATCATTCAATACCAACTCTTCCACAATCGCAACAATATCTTCCGTTATGACCTCCATTGGTCGACCAGTTCTTGAATCATCTTCAAGGGACTCCTGCCCCATTCGAAAACGTTGGTTGTACACACCATCCAGATTATTTAATAAGTTTAGGTGCTATCCCTTCTTTTGTTAAAAACTTTATGACTGCTCTACATTCGATGTGCGTTATGTGCGACATTTTTTCGGACCCGTCTTGTTTAAAATGAATGCTGTCAATAAAAAACTATTTGACGCAAGACTTCAATTTTCTTTTCGCAGCCTACTAACATCAATGTCAGGCCGGGAAATTTTGGCGTTAACCTCATATTTCAACACAATTGAGAAGAACATTATCAATCTATTGTTTTGAAGAAAAGAATGCCAAATATGCGTTAACCGAATTTACAAACAAGTAATTTTGTTGTTAAATGCTAATTTATTTCTAAAGATCACCTTTTTCTTAATGCTTGTTTATTTACGACTGTTATTTCGATTTCCGTTTGGATTTTCTTTTTTAGTTATAAGTAATAAAGCTATATATATATATATATATATATATATATATATATATATATATATATATATATATATATATATATATATATATATATATATATATATATATATATATATATATATATATATATATATATATATATATATATATATATATATATATATATATATATATATATATATATATATATATATATAATATATATATATATATATATACAATATATATATATATATATATATATATATATATATATATATATATATATATATATATATATATATATATATATATATATATATATATATATATATATATATATATATATATATATATATATATATATATATATATATATATATATATATTATAACAGGTTGCCCTAAACTTATCGATTTTATTTTCTACAAATATTTAAAGGAACGTATAAATAATTTATATAAATGAGCAAGACAAAAAGAATCCCTATTACTAGCCGTTTTTTCAATTTTAAAATTTAAAATACTTGGAATGTATCTGTTTCAGTAAAAAGCACTTTCGACACATCAAAACCATACAATGGTGACATAGCTCTTGGCTTATCTTCGTCGCCAAAACACGACGAACCAATGACTGAGGCAGTTAATTTAGAATTGATTAATCTTAAACCAGTTGGTAAAGACGTAACGGGCCCGTACGACAATGGCGTCAACGGAGTTACGGGAATCCCGATCAAGAAAGAAAACGATGCAGAAATGGGCAACCCTTATGATGAATACTTCGTTCCTGTTAATGAGCATCGTAAATATATGAGGTAAGCGATTGTAATATGGTCCGTTGGGGAAGACCTGTTCTGCCAGTTTCGCGTGAGTCAGCGTTTCAGATTCTAACTGCGGAATTAAAAGCTATTTAGAACGCGAGGTCCGAAAAGCGTATTAACGCTGTTAAAAGTTTTTTTTTCGTTTATACTTGTGTGGGCTGCTCTTTTCATTAAATACAAGGTGTCCCTAAAAGATACAAAAAAGTACTAACCCGAATTACTGAGAGCAAAATACTACGATTCAATCTCAGTACACCTCAGTCGAAGACGCATAAATAAGTTTTTTGGGGAGCACCACTATATTTTATCTTTAGATACCAAGTTTGAGCAATTTTAGCAACCATTACCAAGAAATCTTCCTGCAAATATTTAATTTCTTATTCAAATTCCTAATATCTGAGAAACTATTGAAAGAATCAACTTTTTAAGCTACAAGCAATTGAAGAATGAAAATTTTATTTAAAAGTTAAATCCACTGGGCACAAGTGACAAGTTCGTGGCAGCACTCTTCCAGTACCTCTTGGGGACATCCTGTATGCATTCCTAATTTTTTATTATTGTTTTTTTTATAATTGTGCTTGAACAAGATAATCCATTGCAATAGAATAAATAACGGTGTTTGTCATGACATTTATTATAAAGGAAGATTTAAGTTTATATTTTTATTACCAAGCTTAAACCAAATTAGCACGTTAATCATAAAAAATATGCTAAATCATATCAGAAGTGAATGCAATAATTTTACTGTGATATTTATTTTTATTATATTTTATTATTTTTATTTATTGTACAACTGTAAAACTGCGTATGTAATCACCAAGTATATAATTTGTAATTCTTAATTTTCCGTTGTTAACGTTATTGTTCGTTTTGTAAACAAATATAATGGTATCGAGAAAAACCTCAACCCAACATAAACTGCATACTTTGATTGAAATTCGAAAGCACCTTGCTCGAGTAGAGATGAAGGTGGAAAGTCAATAAAAATGTTTGCAAAGTCATTTCAAAATTCAAAGAAATTTAAACCAAAACGATCGCTTTCGCCAACCAAATGTTGGATCGAGTAAAACTCGAGTTTGGCAGTATTTTTAATTGTTCCGTGATTTTGTGCGCAAAAAAATAATTAGTAAATGTAAAAAATATGGAAATGCTGCTCGGGGCATATGGCTAGCGCAGCAATTGATTTTATACTTTGAACACGTATAAAGTTGTTGATCTGCCGCGTATGTTAATTGCGAGTATGTTAATTGTGAAATCAATCGAGAAAGTGTAGAACCGAAAGCCTGTTAATTGCGTACTTTTTGGTTTGACCAAATATTCCGCGGAGAGATCAGATCCATCGCATGGGAAGTTATGGTTAAAATGTTGTTCAAACCGCGTTTCATGTTTTTGTGTAACATTGGCTTAATGGAGAAATATTATTTACACGGACTTGATCTTCTAAATAACTCATATTAAATTTCAATAAATCCTACAAGCTATGTAATAAACATAGAAAGAACTTTGGCCACAAGTAGTAATTGTTGAATGTGAATTGGTGATGAAGTTTTTAAGTTAAAGTTTCGCCATGAGGAAAAAGGGTAAAATAAAAAATATATATATTTGGAAACATCAACTACTCTAATTAAATGGTTAAATTATAACTTCGATTTGAATATATGACAAGAACTAGATATTCCACGAAAACAATTCTTCGATAAATCTAGACGAGTGGGATGCAAGTATGAGAGAAATACGATTATTATTTTTGGATGCCACTTTCAATTTTTGTAAAATCGTCTTTCGCAGTGTATCGGTACCTATTTGTCGCAAGAAGCCGAATGTCCTCTCCAATTGTACATACACTTTTGCACGTGCTGCACTCAACATATTCTCTACGTTTAAATTAAATTTTAACAGCTCAAAACTAGAAATAATTAAATGCAATGTCAAATAGTGGATTTTTGCATAGATAAATATGAGTTAAAAATAATAAATAGTATCAAAATCAAAAAACACATAGTGTAAAGTGACTGAACATCCTGTATAAAAATAAGGAAAACCGAACCAGTGATTGTCTAACCAATATCTTAGCATTTCAGCTCAAATATTTGGGGCATAGGCCTATGCCTACAGGTAGACCTATAGCAACCTATCTAAAAATATATGCTTTAGAACAACAGCGACAACATATACAGAGTGATTCATAAATGGATACCAAAATGATAGGCCGTGATATTTGGTCAATTTTAGAGGGAAAATGAGGAAAATATTCTTCATTATTCTACATCAGCATCACAGTAAAGTAGCTATATTTTGAGAATATACAAATTGTTACTATCAAATTAAAGTACAAATGAAAAACAAAGTTTTACTAAAAAATAGGCACCTCGTTCAGTGATAAAAATTTGTAATAGGAATTTGTTAAAAATTGAAAAACGAGTCCAAAAATATATCAAATATATTGAATATACTTAAACCGTATTAATGTTTCATTCTGCTGTGGTTTTAAATTTTTAATTAAACCGTATTTCTGACTTTTTAGAAATAAATTAACCAGATTTTCTATCTCTCCCAGTTTCAAGCGATAAACAAATGATGGTAACTTTTTAAGAAACCACGAAAACCAAGGGTAAATCATCCTAGTCGAATGTTGAATTGGTTCCCCCTTTTTTATCTTATGGCAGGTGTAGTTTTTTAAAGCAGCCCATCGTTCATTATAAACTGTAAGTTTAAAAGTTTAGAACGTTCTGTTCAAGGCAAATTATAATTCTTGATTTTATATGGACTTTTTAATAAACCCACTTTTCTTTTCCAAAACAGTTGCAATGGTTATCTGCGATATTTATGGGTATCGACATTTATGGTTATTCCGTTAGCTTTTTCAAAGCGCACGCACTCTTTAAGCCGCAATTTGTTGGTCGCCAAATTTATTTCACTAGGAACAGGAAGGCGTGCATAAATTTTACGCCTTGGTTTCAAACTGCGTCATTAACGCACGATCATTTTTGAAGCGGCCAATATGCAAAATAAACATGTAGACGCAAAATTTCGTTGTCGCCTTGGAACCATTTCTAAATTCAAAAAAATTATCCGGTTAGAAAGGGAAGGTCGGCGTTCAGTCTGATTATCCGTGCCATTGACCAGTGGTGATGGTGGTGGGTGACTGATTTCGATTAGAATTCGGTTTTAATACGGCAAGGTCGTCGGAATCAAACCAGAGAGATGCAAAAATTGCGTGCTCTAATAGGGCAATCAGAACTTAAACAATTATTCATTAGATGGTAATTTAAACCAAGGGGAAGTTGACACAAATAAGTAATTCGAAATTATTCGATATTTTAATTGCATACGTAATTATTTGTTTTATGATTTAATGCTCGCAGTAAAACGAGAAAAGGTAGAAACAGTGTATCATTCGCTGAATCCATCATGGCCGGCGGTGACACGAGTAACGGTTGCTGTGAAGACACCCCTGTGGAATACCCTCGGTGGATGACAGATTTGGACAAACCACGGTACCATCATTCTTTCATGTATCACGCCTACACCGTCTTTTCTTCAAGGGCTATCTTAGTTCGGGGATATTAATTGATTCCATAAATATCTTAAATTTGGGTTACAGAACTGTATAAAGGCTAAATATAATCTGCATTAATTTTTCAAAGAAAGTTCCACAGGCTACTGTAATATTTTTTCAAAACTTCTGGAATCCTCCTGCGTCGGTTTTTGCTGAGTGGAACTTGCTGACGTTTCGTAAAACCAGTTTCCGTCAAGCTCTGAAGAAGCCAACAGGATGATTGTCGAAACGTCAGCAAAAACTGACGCAGGAGGAATCCAGAAGTTTTGTAAAAAGTATAATCTTTCTTTCTCTTTTGGAATATATGATTTTTTTTAAAGAAGTTTTAATAGATTTAGTTTGCCTTTGGTATTTATAAATTCGATATAATTTGACGATAATTATCTCTCTCGTATTTTATCCATATCCAATTTCGTTGTAACGTGTGCATACGAGCTGTAGAAGTCAATTTTCTTCATTTTCTTTTTTGACAGTTTACACTTTTCAGGTTGAGAAACCTTCTGCCACTAATAAAGAACGAGAGAAAGTAGACAATGCTATTTAAAAAATCACATTAGCACTAGATGTACTATATCAGAATAAAATAAAATAAAATAAAAATCGGCTGCATTTAAAATTTTATTTAAAAGTTTTAAAGGTGTTAAAGTCGATAGATAATTTAGAAGTAACTTCATACGTTCCGTTTAAATTAATAACGTTAAACTTAAAAGTGTGAATATTATTACAAATTTACGTAATATTAAACATTTCTGTTAATTTTGCTTTAGAACTTGAAACATCAATCTTAGATTTTTTTTTTCAAGAATGAATTTTGCCCTGCAAAGGCCTATACAAAGAATCAAAGTGTAAAGAGATACTAACGGAAGCGGAAAATCTCAAACAAAAATAAAAATTCTCATCTGCAAAAGATTTTTAATATTTGAGTTGGTTGGTTAACTTTAATTTGTTAATAGTGTTAAATATAATTTTTAGTATTTTTTATTTAAGGTGGCAATTATTATCCCCAGAACTAAAGACGTGGAAGTTCAAATTATTGTAAAATAAACCTTACTGGGAATATTTGGTGTGCGGTAGGTGTGATTGGGTGATGGTGCTGGAAAGGGAGGGCTTTATATGCTATTAAAAACGACCACATATTGAAAATGATGCAATTTTACCATGTAGTATAGTAAAGTAATACTCGGGAAAATTCAACCTCATATTGGGTCTAGGAAATTTAAATTTAAATACCAAATTGAATTTATTTTTACAAAACTGACCAACACTAATGGGCTTTTTGTGGTACCTGGAGACTGCATCGATGGTATTCTATCACACGAAAATATTTCTAATACTTTGACTAGTCAAAGTGAGGGCCGCCGTTTATCATTTGATTTTTACATTCTGGCGAAAAACGAGATTTATTTTGTTAACATTATCACACAAATTTCTCCTATCTATTTATACTTTTCGAAACAAAAAATTGATTTTCACAATTGTTTATTTGAAAGATTCCACCATTTTCTCAAGCTTCCAGAAATATTATTTAATTAGATGTTTCATAACACCATTAATTTCGAATTCTTTGCAACACATTACAAGAATTTTTTAAAAGTTTTTTGCATTATATTCATTTAAGTTCAATTTTAAAGTGCTGATAGGACGAACAATGTGTTTAGAAAGTCAATAACAAAAGTCTTCCTTTAGGTTTCATAATTTGATGGTTATAAATACATATGACGTTTTGTGTAAAATAGTATGATATTATTTTTTATTTCTTTTATTGAAAGCGAAATATATGCAAAATTATTTTCGACACTCCCGGACTGCTTTACGCAACCAACCTGGGAAATTTCACCATATTTAATAACTTAATCATAATATATACCGGTAGATCTGTACTCCTAATGTTGACCTATCCGGTATATTGATCACCAACAAACAGTATTTTACATAGACCGCTAATTTTTAGCGTAATTTGGAATTATTTTAAAATTTCATTATTTTTTCCAAAAAGATGGACACTTTTTTAATTAATTTTCCTCAAATTTTTCAACCATCGAATTAACCGTTTTACAGCAAAATAATGACAATTTTAAGTGACTACTCGAAATAATTACAGAAATACTATCACTGTCAGGCGCCATCCAGACTCGTAATCAATGATATGTTAAGTTTTACCATACTGTCAGATTCCTACAATTTTATTTTTAAATATTCATATTCAATTTTTGAGCCTACCGTTTATTATTTGCAACCACTTCTCAAATTTCATGTTACGTTCATGTTATAAGCACTGAAATATAGAACAACTTTTCAACATTTCTTCAAACGCAAATTCTGTGTATCAAAATAATACTTCGCATAAAATTATTAAACATATATTTCCTTGTTAAACTCGTTGGCATTGTTTACTTTTTTAATTTAATGATGTAAAGCATTTATGATGTTTTTTGATGTAATGTTCTGCTGCTTTTAATACCTGAAGAATGGTTAAGTCACAGAACACACTTGCAGCGAAAAGAACTAGTCATGAATTTTTATTCCAGTTTTCCGTTTTGGATTATTAGTCCCGACTCAGGCTGCACCCACCTCCAGTTCCTCCTAATCCAGTAATCTAGAGCAGGGTTTTGGAGTTGAGTGTCGGAGTAAGCTTACCTGTTTCTCAGACCTTATACATGACCTTGTTTCAAACTTTCGTATTATTTTGATCCACGACTCACTTATGATTTTGCCTTGATTTCCTATAAAGGCTTTTGTATAGGGAAAATAAATATATACCTCACTGAATAGAAATATTGTAAATATTTAGTGCGCAATAACTGTGGAAGTAGCAAATCGTATCTCATTCACATTTACCTTATTTCAGAGGCGAAAAACTATACGTCACTATGGACAAAAGGAACAAGAAAAGTAGAAACAAATGCCTGTGTTGGGGGATATGTTTATGCATCGTGGCTGCGGCAGTGATTCTAGGCATATTAGCAGCAGGTAAACACTTTTAATTAAATATTTTAGACTTTCAAAAACCTTGCGGTTGAATATAGTTCCCCATTGGCGAGTACAGTATGCATATGCATTAGACGTTTAATTTATAGCAAAAAATAAGCAACAAGGTGTAAAAGCCTTTTTTTAAAGAAATAGGTAATGCGTACTAAGTGTATCTCGGAAACAATTAGCGACTGATTGGGCAATTTACATTTTAAGCAACAACAAATTCCAGTTACGGATTTTCTATCGACAACCCCGATAAATTTAATAGTTAGACTCGTTACTTGTTAGTACATTTTTATAAAATACATCAATTGTCAATTTTTTTTCTTTGGTACACAAACCAGATAAAATCACATGTAATGTAATCCTTTTTAATATAAAAAAAAGTAAAAACACAAAAAGATTAGAAATTACATGATGAGTGTCTACCAGAAAGTCTAAGTTTTCGGAAACCATCGGAAATTGTGAACAAATCCAAATCTGAACTCTTAACAGTGGAAGCAGGGAAATATTTTGAAAGTTGTTAGTGTTCCTGAAGGGAATAATAAGTGGGGGCTATATTCAAAATAATCCAAGTACGTGCTACATAATTCAAAATTTTACGACTCGTGGATCCTCCAAACGCTTACTTCATTTAAGTATTAGATTATTATATTAAGTTTATCATTAACATCCATAAGTAATCCCAAAACAAGACATTTTTGCTAATGGTGGTCATACAAATGCGACCAGCGAAGGGGTCTGATTGCCCATGATATGCAGACGCTTTCTTAGAGGGTAGCGTCCTACCAGCATTAGAAGTTGTGCGCGACTGAGATAGAGAGCTCACATTTGGTCCTGAAGTTTCCATGATTAGAACCCTCAACGGTCTCAGTCCCGTTAAACTCTCCTGAACCATTTATTCAAATAGTATTTCTCATATACCTACCGGGTGTTTGGCAAAGTTGGTTATGGTCAGAGTAGAACCAGAAATAGTATATATAATCTATGTACGTGGATTTTGCGGAGAAACTAAAATCACTATAATTAATTTTTCATCAGTACAGACATTTGTGTTTTTTTTAATGGAATAATTAAGTATCATACAAAAAATGTGGGAGGTCAAACAATAAGATCAATACAGAGGAGAAATATAGTTGCTTGATTATTTGACGTTATTTTGTTCTAAAATTTTCTTTGTTTTGGGTTTTCTATATTTTTTTCAATTGATAATCCGCAAGACGGTGGATCGACTTCAACACAATCTGAAATTTGAATGTAAGTTAATGCCAAAAAACACGATACTGCTCAACAAAATGAAGTGCAATAAGAATTTTTTTTTTGTTTAGTCTACGGTGGACATGATACAAAATGTATTTCAATATATTTCACTTTAAATATTGTCCTCACAAATCTATTCCTTATACACTAGGTTAATTAACTACTGCTCGACGTGTAAATGTGCATAAGGAAGTAGGTATAAGGTATATTACCGGTGAATTCCTAATAAAGCGTAACAATTTCACTTTCGTTCGATCTAAAAATACAGTTCAGTCAAGATAACGTTTTATGCTATCAAAGAGTGGGTAGCAGACAAGCCGTTAATTTAAATAATGGCTTATAATTACGTCGATTCAGTTGTCAGTCGGCAGCAGCCGGAATGCAAGCAAATCATTACATTATTTCGATATTAGCAACACTAAACCAACACTAAGCCGCATTCATCAGAACCAACCTCATGTCACTATCCGCTGATATTTAATCATAAAAAATGCGAGAAAGATAAATAAATATAAATAAAATAGGGTGCTTTTCAGAAATGTCCATTTAAAAAAAGTGGCAACAGAGTATACATTTTTTTACATGGGACACCATGTATATTTTAGAATCATTGAAATGAACTGAAAATATTCCTCGAGAAAAAGGTAAACACAAAAAAAAGTGGTAATTGCAAATTGTAATTTTTGGAGTGAAGCAGGTTAATTTTTAAAATAAAATCAACGGGTATTTTTTTTTTCGTCTAAGCTTGATTTTTTTATTTCGGTTGCTTCCTTGTTGACATTGTAGGATTATTTTGAAGGGCTTCTGTAACTTTTTTTTTCTCAAACTGACTACTATTAATCTTCTGAAAATTACTCACTGTTTCCACATTCCTCTATGCTGTTATAAAACAAAACTTATGGTAAATTCCCTAACTTAACAACTACCAGTTCAAATTTGTGCTCTCTATTTGTGTGTTGTACATATACATGTATGATGTATGATTTCGGTTTTAGGTTTACCGGGTTCATTTATTCACACTACAAATTTCAAAAAAATACCATACACATTTTTCGGGAATTGTGTTTTAATTTCACTTTTTTAAATAATCGATCGATAAAAGCTTTAAGAGCGACCAGGTGAAATTAGTTAACAATTTTAAAATAATTTATTAGTGAGTTAACAGCAAGTGCTTTTTTAAAATCAAGGTAAATTTCTGTTGCTTCCACATTATAGATTAGATGTAGTGAATGCGAATGCTACAGTAAACCGTTGCCGACATTTTTGTGCTCTCAAGGAAAGCAAGGTCTTTAAGATTTAAACGGTAGGTTGACTGCCGTTGAAAAAATGGAACGATTGTGTAATATTTACGCGATCCAGTTTCATTTCTGTTTTTTTTCTACGTTTTAGTGCCCACGACTGATCGTACATATTATGCATGTGGAAACACAAGCAATAATTGAAATGTAACTGTCGGGTTTTCTGAAAATATTTAGATTTATGAATTATCGGTTATAAATTAATTGTGTGTAAGTTCTTCCGTGACACTGAAATAAAAAAACAGAATTGCTTCCGGAAAGAGAACAAAAAAAAATTAAAAACATTACATTGAATTTTTGCAGGTACTCAATATTACTCAAAAAGATTTTTTTTAATATTAAGGGTTTTCGAAACAACAAGGGCAATTGCAATACGTCATAAACAGATAATAAAATACAGTATTTAAATCTACAACAACACAACTACAAATATGGCGCTCGTATGAAAATATTAGATTGATTGATTATGATTATTAGAGGGGTTATTTTGTTTTGTAGCCGCTATTATTTGCAGATTTTTAAACCAGCTTTAATTTAGATTAAATAATAGAATTTGAAACGGTTTCAAGTAACGATAAGGAGTGTAGAATATCTATCTAAACTCACGCGCCTTCTAATTTATACGCTTTACAGCAAACTAGGACAAATATACCTAAATAACTTATCTAATACCATTAATGCAATAAAAGTTTTAATCAAAAATAATGTTGGCTATTCTGTGAAAAAGCGATGAATTGACTATCAGACAACCTAACCATATCCTAAGGAATTAAAAAATACAACAAGAACATGCTCTTTAAATTAATCAAGCTAAAGATATTGATTAATTTGATATTGCTTACATAACATAAATACCTCTTCAGATATTCAAAACATTGAAATTTTGACCTAATCGAAATTGTTAAAAAAAAGTTTTTGGGTGTCGTAAATCAAATACGATATAATCCATGGGATTCCATTTCAAAAATACCACTTTGTAAGTTTTAGAATTTTAGATAACCTCTATAATATGAAAATAATATCCCAGGTAAGAAAATATACCAAAATTAAAACTTATTGAAGAAAGTTAGGTATTTTGGTTGCAATATTCTGTGTAATATAGAGTAATTAACCCAAAATTGAACTTTACTAATATAGATAAACTAACAAATTGGACAAGACAAACCTAAAAAACTAAATGCATCGAATATTTTCTTTCATTTTCGGTTGTTTTATCCAAAATAAAATACATATATATCTTTCAGTTGGAGTGATAGGCAACCAAGGCCCAATGGAAGTAACCGCCAGACATTTTGACGGATCTCAGGCGGAGGTTAAGGAAGGCAGTATATTCGCAGCTGCGACGAGAGATTCTGGAGCGAAAAAGTCATCTGAAAATCTACCGGCCACACCAGGACCACCCGTAAGCACCGTCTCAAGCTTGCTACCATCTACCGACACATCCATGATCGAAGTACCTCGAACACTTGAATCGGAAATTGTCATCGATAATCTGCAATACTCAGATGAGTTAGCTATGAAGAACACTTCGCAGTTTATGACTCTGGCCAAATCGATAGAAGATGAACTCAAGAAGAATCTGTTTAGCAAGGACATTTTGATGTATGGTCCCGCGGATATAGAAGTCAAAGTTCTTGAGTTTTCGCCTGGAAGTGTGGTGGTCAAATACAGAATTGGTTGGAAATTTAAGGAAGGTATCCACAACGCTCCAGATCCGATTAACGAAGAGGTCCTCCAAAGGCGACTCGATACCCTCCAGTATCGTAAATCCGGCTTAATGGATATTTACCATATAGATAATAAACCTACAATAAGCAACAGAGTGTTAGACAAGTGTCGTTTTGAAAACAACGGCTGCGAACACGTTTGCGAGTTTGATTACCACAAATTAGACTTCAAGTGCAGTTGCCCCGATGGAAAAATTTTAGCTGAAAATGGCAAAACATGTGAAGTAGTTTCGCATCTCACGACAGACAATTTGGAACACGAATCTGAACCAAAGCCCGAGCCTGAGCCTGAGCCTGAGCCTGAGCCCACCATGGAAACGGAACCGCCTGCACAGCCGGAACCATCTGTTGAACATAAACCGTCAGAAAAGCCGCAACCTGTGGAAAAGGAATCATCTTCAGAACCTTACCCTTCTGTCATACCAGAACCATCAGCTCAACCGGAACCATCCACTGAACCCGAACCAACAATAAAACCACAACCACCTTTAGAGAGAGAACTATCTCCGGAACCAATTTCGCCGTTCATATCAGTATCATCAGCTGAACCAGAACCAGCTGCTGAACCCGAGCCAACAGCAGAGCCAGAACTGCCGGCATTACCGGAACCGTCGGCAGAGCCAGACCCATCACTCGAATCCGAACCATCTGCTGAACCTGAACCAACAGCGGAACCACAACCCTCTGCAGGACCAGATCCATTCGCAGAACAAGAGAACTCTGCAGAATCAAAACAATTAGCAGAACATGTGCCCGCGTCAACAGCAGAACCGGAGACATCAGCCCAACAAAAGCCTACTTCAGAACCAGAATCATCAGTAAAAAATGAAGCCGAACCGACAGTGGAACAAAATCCATCAACAGAACAAGAACCATCCGCAGAACCAGAACCGTCAGCAGAACCAGAACCGTCAACAGAACCAGAACCATTACCGGATACTGAAGCTAAGCCAACAGCAGAACCACAACCTCATGCAGAGACAGAAGCACCAGGCACCGAAACAACTTACTCAACCAAACGCGAACCATCATTAGAGTCATTCGGCCGACGTGACCCGTCGATAAAACAAGACTCTTTGTTGGAGACTTCGGCAACAATGACACCAGAAGCAGTAACTATTCTTGAACCTGTAGGGGCAACCGAATTAACTCCAAAAACTAAAGTTCTCTCCGAACACGAGTTATCCATCATACGCGAACCACACCCAGTCGAGGATCAGGAACACAAACTTTCATCTGCAACAGAGGCTATTGAGAAGTTAGAACATTCAACTGAACATTCAGCCAATTCTATAAATGAGCCTGAACCTTCTGTAAAATCAACGTTTCACCCCAACGAATTGTCAAAAACCGAAACAGAGAATGACTTTCAAGAAGAAGTTCAAACAACAACGTCAGAGCCCGAAGAGCATGATCAATCTAAATTATATTTCAACCCCATAGCTCAGGTGCACAATGAGACAGGTAACCTTAGCTCTGGTCAGTCAAATGTAATACCCGCCCATACTGAATCTGAAACAGTTCAAACTGACATTCTGTCAGTTGAACCAATAGAACAACAAACTACCGTAATCCCACTAGAGGCATCTACTCAACCAAGTGAGATTAAAAGCAGTGTGCATAATTTAGAAGCAGAAACTGAGATGACTTCCAATATCAATCCATCTACCGATCAGTATGTGGAAATTATTATTAACGAAAGACCAACGGAATCCAATAATGAAGATTCTAATGCAAAAATGGTTATGTCTAATGTCGTAACGGAAGCTACAGAACCAAGAAAAGAAGAATCACACAGCGCAATGGATTCCGAGTCTGAAATATTGCATGATAGGGGTGAAAGTGGGATAACTGCAAGACCGGCATTCGAGGTTCAGGAAAATTTCACTAGTAATGAGAATATAATGACTTCAACAGAACATAGTTTAAACAATAATAACGAACAAAACATTCTACATATCCCCGTCATAATCCAGGCGAGTAGAGAATTTGAATCCACGACTCAACATCAAGTTCTATTGAACAGTGATAAACCAGAATCTATGGAAAAGAAGCTGGTACTGAACGAAACAGTTCAGACAACAACTCATGAAAATGATACTACGAAAACCATAACTAACACAAGTTTGGAAAATAGCACAACTAATCCTAACGCGGAGAAAATAACCGACTTGCCCACTGATAATATATCTCCAACTGATCTTTCAACAAATTTTCTTTCAAATGAAAATATGGAAAAAGTCGATGTTACTACGGAAGCCGATATAGTCACTACTACCAGAGAAATTCTGAATGCTAGTTTGGCTGACGACAAGGATAGCTCCGCAGACTTTATCAACAGAACAGAAGTTAACAACCTCCATATTTTACAAGACCCAAAATTTATAGAAAACTCCATTCAAACTAGCGGTGAAGCGAGAAAAATGGATTTTAATGACTCCAAATCAACTCTGACTTTTGACAAGGCAAACGTGGTAGGCGGAGACCTAAACCAAAGCGATCAACAGTTCCACACTGAACATCCTCCACTTTTGGAGCATAATATGTCGCCTTTTTTGCCAGAAATCGAAAATGAGACAATCAACAATATCCTCGTACATCCGGATGACTCTTTCAACGAAAGTCCTTACTTATTCAACAACCGAGAACATAGTGAAAGAAATGTGACGCAACCACCCGACCTGCACCATGATGAGATAAATCACACCAATCCTTTTGATCCTAACCCTACCGATGTATCACTCAGTGTTGTTCCATTAGAGAACGAGATAAACGACAGCAAGATTGAACGTGGCAATACTGAAAAGACCTCAAGTTTGAATGTTTCTGACAATAATACATCAAGCGAACCGAATGAAAATAGCACAATTGACAAACCTCTAATTCGTACAAACTCCTCGGGTTTTAACATAACGAATGCTCTGGAAGAGGTGACCCTACCTCCAGAAATCGTTAACAACGTACATAGCAACAGCTTCTTTGAAACTGTGCTAGGAGTAGGTGAAAAGAATGATACGTCAGGATCGTCCAGCGGTTACAATTTCAAAGGGGACACATCGAGCACAGAAGATTTAATAGCATTAGAGACTACCACAAATGATGAAAAGGATGTTGGCAAGACTATCACTTCAACTGAATATTACTTCGCATTTAATAGTACTAGCAACACATCGGATACTTTAAACAACGATATAAACGTGCAGCCGACAACTATAATCAGCTTGGAGGCTGTAACCGATAACACCGAAAAACAATCTTCCAATCAATACGAAGTTAAGGAAATGGCGGCCGACGTAACAACTACTGAAAAATTGTTTCTAACCACCAGAAATAGTTCCCAAACTGACGAAGATCTTTCTGTGGCTCCTCTAGAGTCGTCTGATGGAAAACAATTGCCATTCGATGCCACTGGTTTCAACGATATTTCGGACGAGGAACAAAGCGTCTTGGACAAATTTGAGCACCATCCGCAAACTGATACCGAAAAGATACTGGGAAATTACGAAAAGATCGACAGCAAAGATTTTTTCAGTAAGGTCCAAGACGATGTTATCACAACTATGTCGCCAGAAATAAACAGTACAGAGTCGAACTTAAACTCGGTGAAACCAGTGACAGAAGACTTTTCGCTATTTAGCTTTCCCAGATGTGCTTCCGGTCAATTTCAGTGCGTCAATGGAACGGCCACCAAAGATAACAAGTACTGCATTCCTGCGAATGATAGGTGCGACTCCGTTTTGGATTGTAGCGACGGCTCTGATGAAGTTAATTGCGTCGAGGAAGGATGTCCCAACAACTTTAAGGTGAATTTTGAGATTTTCCGCGTAAAGTTGTTGATTTAATGTAACAAAAAATTTTAGTGCGCCAATGGTCAGTGTTTGAAACGACACTTGGTGTGTGATGGAATTGTCAACTGTAATGACGGAACTGATGAAAATAATTGCGGTAAGGGAATGCTTTGAATACATCGCTCATATTCATTCAGCCCAGTAAATTTAGCAAAATCTCCGCGTACCCTTTTGCAGATATTCTTGCCTTCGCATAAAATAACCATTACAATAAACTGGTTTTCAAATTATACGCTGCCTATAGTCATATTTTTGGCTGATAAAAACATAATAGATATATAAGTAGAAATATAAAAAACGTTAAAACTACTCGAAGTACAAATTTTAGAATTCAAAATAACCTAAAGGATTGTTGAGTTCGTACATTTATATATATGATGAAATCGCACTAACAAAAAAAACACATTTTTGAGCGGAAGATGAAAATATATTTTGTCACTTCAAGATAGTATCGATTAAAAATTGTGGCAGACAAGCTTCGACTTGTTGGCGACATGGCTGCTTAGGGTATAATGGTCGATTTGAAAACAAACAAAACGTTTTTTTTTTGTAAGTGACGGTGTAACGACTTTTAAAGACGTGAGGGGGTGCCCTCTACTTCAAACTACAAAGAATTTTAAATATCTGTACTCTTATTATTAAGAACAAATGACATAACCCGCTAGAAAATTCCAAAATTCGACTTTCCCAGAGAGATATCAACAGTAAATCAAGCGACGAACCTTAAACGACTGGAATCAATACTTTACTCTCCTATTGATTTCAATAACCCAAAAACAAAAAACCGTTACTCATAATCAACATCTCGAAAACGGTTTACTTAATCGACATAAATAAAATAACACCGACACCATGTCTATCCCTAAAAAATTGTCTCGATTATTCATTGTGTTATTTGAAATTTGGAAAATTTTGAAATCCGCTTCGCTAAATTTTTCAATAACATTTTTACCGACAACCGTCGGTAATTTTGTCAGCGAACGGACCAAAAAACCTGAACGGTTTAAGCCTAGCCTTTTCATTCAATTAAAACGGATTTAAGATTTTTGGTTTTTGATCTTTCCAAAGAAAAGTAAAAACAGGAATATTTAATGCGGAACAAAGAGATGGAATGATTTCCTATATACCTTATTATTATCTATGTTTTTATTATTTTATTTTCTCCACATGTTTCATTATGTAACTGGTTAGTGGAAATTGCAATATAGGCTCAGTCGATGTTCAGTATTTTAAATCTACCGAAAATATATAACATAAACAACATATCTGCTGTCTTTATTTAGTACCTCATATGGAGAACTAGTACAGAGCTAGAGATAGTAAAGTTATAGAGCATCTGACACATGCTAGTACGTAAGTTGGTTGAAGTAGTCTATTATTATTTCGATTATGGACTAAAAAAGCATAAATGAAAATTAAAAGACAAAAAATAGGTTATGGTGATAGTTTTGGTTACTACCTACTTTGGCTTTTAACCGATAACATTTCTACTCCATGTGAAATCCGAGAATAGAGGATCTTAGTTGCTTTGCCTCTAGTTTTTAGTTATTTCATTGTTTATCGTCAGACGGAATTAACTATAACGTAATTGTAGATCAATGGACGTGTAATTTCGACGAGTTACGATGTGGAAGCGGGCGACGCTGCATACCGTTGTCGTGGAAATGCGATGGCAAATCTCAATGTCCGGATAATTCAGATGAGCGTAATTGTCACCTTTCGCAATGTCATGACAATTTATTCCATTGTGCTGAGCAAGAGTCTTGCATACCGGCCGGTTGGCGATGCGATGGAAAAGCCGATTGCGCCAACGCGGAAGACGAGAGACTTTGCGGTAAGATGGTACCATTACCCCAGTTTCCTGTATAAACGTATGCACACGAATGGTTCCTTACAGGCCACCAAATTTATAAAAAAGCAAAATTTTGGATACTTTTTTACAAATTTGCTCATGTTAAAGAGGTTACACCAGTGGCGTCCGTATGGAATGTAGTTTGAATATTTTGGATAAACGAAACGATATGCAACTAGTATTTTGGTAATTAAAATTAACTTTTTTAACAGGTTAATTAGCGCATTGGTTCCGTGATGAAATTGTCTTTAGTGATCACCAGTATAAATAAAATTGAAATTAACTGTGACCATACCCGAAACGGATGTGTTCCCATAAGAAAACAATATAATTGGACACCCTGTACAAGGTGAACTACGTTTTCGGCGACAAACTCATAAATTACTTCGTTTTAAAGTACAGGGTGTTTCCCTAAATAAACTTTGTTTTTGTTTGTTTTTTCTTTTAATATTACCTTTGATTTTGAATTTGGAGCAAATTTAAATTTTTGCTTCTTTTTCGTATACGACTTACCATTAATATGCATGAAGAAATGGCTATTAACTATTTCCTTATTAAAGTCAATTACCCAAAAAAGACGTTCTGATCTTTAAGGATTGCTATCTATGCTATGTATCTCTCACTTTTTGGTCTCGACTTTCGACCCCTCAGAACTTGGGAAATATGGTTATAAAGACTTATTTTCATAAAAATGATTTTCTAGAATTGTATCAACGTGGTATATAGAAAACCATTGTTTATTTACAACGAAGAATCTCGCTTACAATTTGCGGACACCATAATAATTTTATAAATAAGCGAGTATTGAAATAATGTCATCTACTATCTTTGACAGAGTGAACCAGAGAAGTTGCTTATGGAAATATATCTTATTCAAAAAATATAAAATTTGTGTATATGTGTGTGAATGTCGCATAGACTTTATTAAGCTTTTTTATTCAGCCACCTACCTTCGTTTTTACTTTTTCCAAAATTGAGAGCTGCCATTTTTTCTTAAACATATTTTCTGGTTGCATGTCGAAATGTCGTGTGTGTCACCTTATTGTAAAAGTATTTTTTCCTCGATATTAAAATGAATATGACGGAATCAAACTTTTACCCACAGAATGTGGCAGCGAACAATTCAAGTGTCGAACTGGTGGCGGGTGCATTGCCATAGAATTGAGGTGTGACGGAATTCCTCAGTGCGGCGACAGATCGGACGAATGGCACTGCCTTGTACTGAGAGATATCAACGGCACTAATGAAATTTTTAAAAACATTTTACAAGTAATGAGACGAGTCGCACATTATCACATTGGACTAAATCTACTTGTGAATTACCTTTGCAGGTCGAACTAGAAAATAACACATTTTACCCCGTTTGTTTGGATAGCGGCAACTGGAACGGGACTTACGCCGATTTAGCGTGCCAGAATTTAGGATACGCAGGCGCTACTCAAATTAAACCGTTTACTATTCCGTCGGCTGAATCCAAAATTTTCTACAGACTTGAGCAGACGTACAGCTTACCGCTTATGTCGCAACTTACAAAAATCGAAAACCAAGATTGTAAAGAATTCGCGTCGCTGACGTGTCAGGATTTCGGTAAATTGTTGACACCTCGTCGTCGATCACCATGCTCCATAATGTCTCCTTTTTCAGAATGCGGCAATAACGGAAATCAAAATTCGGCGCAAGCGCGAATAATCGGCGGCAACAAGGCTGCCGCGTCACAGTGGCCCAGTTTAAGCCTGCTTTACAATAAGCGACGAAATATTCAATGCACTTCGACGATCATAGCGCCAATGTGGATAATCGCTAGTCACTCTTGTGTCGCGGACAACGATCCACATTTGGCGCCCAATGTCGAAGATTGGATCTTATATGCTGGCAGTGGTAACTTTTTCGGTGGAGGGGACAATGCCAGTGTAGAGGCGCACGAGATTCGAGAATTTGTTCCTCATCCACAGGTAAGCCATTTTTAGATATATGTAATAATTGTAGACCACGAGAGTATGTCTAAAGGAGACCAAACAAGATACTGATAATTAATTTACCGCTTTCAACAGTCAAACTGGCCATCCAGATGGACTAAATGAACCTGTGTGCTCTAGGCCTGTACAAACTATAGAGGAATAATTATTATGTTGCATCCGAGCATAAAAAAGTTTACAGGATGTCGTATTTAAAAAAGCAAAATCTTTTAACTTTCAAAAACAAACTATTCCATTTAATTTATTTATGTCAAAAATGTTTAAGTCTTGAACTTTGGGAATTTGGGAATACGCTTATATATAAGGGGTGTTTTTTTTCAATGTATAGAACTTTAAGTTGATGAATAGTTGATGAATATGATTTCTGGCATATGACCGCCACGGCTGGCGCGGATGTAGTCCAAACTGGACGTCCAATTTTCGATGACTTTTTCCAACATTTGTGGCCGTATATCGGCAATAACACGGCGAATGTTGTCTTCCAAATGGTCAAGCGTTTGAGGCTTATCCCCATAGACCTATGACTTTACATAGCCCCACAGAAAGTAGTCTAGCGGTGTTAAATCACAAGATCTTGGAGGCCAATTCACAGGTCCAAAACATGAAATTAGGCGGTCACCAAACTTGTCTTTCAATAAATCTATTGTGGCACGAGCTGTGTGACATGTTGCGCCGTCTTGTTGAAACCATATCTCCTGGACATCATGGTTATTCAATTCAGGAATGAAAGAGTTAGTAATCATAGCTCTATACCGATCACCATTGACTGTAACGTTCTGCCATCATCGTTTTCCTCAATGCTACGCTCTACAGCAGCAATAGCTTCTTCTGTACGCATCGTACGGCGTCTCTGGGGATGCGAAGTTATCAAACGTGGATGGACGATTTTGTCGACGATAAAATGGACGTAGTGCGCGATACGTATTCCGCACAGAACCATTATTTGCGAAATAAAATTGCACTATTTGCAAGCGTTGTTCAGGCGTGAGTCTATTCATGATGAATTTCCAAACCAACCCTAGAATAAATCACTTGACAGCTGTTAAATCGGTCGCCATCTTGAACAGTAATGCCAACTTAAAGTTCTATACATCGAAAAAAAAATCATGACTTGAGATGAGACTAATATCAGTTAATTTTAAAAAAAGTGTAAATGGAAATATTTCGTTTGAGCTTTTTGCCACCCTGATATTTTGTGTACTTCTTTCATCGTTTTTTTTTATTAATATATTAAAAATTGTAAAATTAATTGAGAAAATTTCTACAGATTCTCATTAACTAAATTGATATGCTTAATTTTAAAATCTATAACTTATGTGTTTTTTCCAGGCCAAATATTTACAGTACGAGTTTGTCAACGACGTTATCTTAATTCAGCTTAAAAAACCATTGCCACTAGGGCGCAATATAAGTACCATTTGTCTACCAAATATGGATACAAATTCCAGGCAATTGTGTGTGATATCTGGTTGGGGAATCAGCAAACCTGGAGGTAAAAGATTGTGTAATATTAATTAAAAATTAATAATAATAAAATTAATATGATATCAACATTTTTATTATCTCCTTCCTTTCTGATTGTCATTTAATATTAAATACGTTTATATATTATTTAAGATGCCACAAAGGAGCAATATCTTCACTATTTACCGGTTCCTATAATGGACAAAGAAGAATGCAATTCCACCAAACATTACAATGGTCTACTAAATGAAGACAAAATCTGCGCGGGATATACAGACGTGGAGAAGACTCCCTGCTACGTAAGTATCTTATTAAAAAACAAACTATCAGACCAGGAAGATATCCGCTTAGATGATATAAAAATGATAAATGGAATATGAAAATGTGTTTTTGAAATTTCATTTCATTTTCATTCAAACTGTTAATAATCCAGTTGGCAAGATTTTCAAATGTAAACAGATATATATGTTAAAACCAAAATAAAAAATACGTATATTTGGAAAGATATATCGATATATTTTGTGAAATAGGGAAATTATTTTAAAATCGCAATTACTTCATTTGCCACACTGACAAAACGTAAATTTTACTAATGAAATTGCAATCTGCTTTTTATATGTGACTGTTAATTTTTCCAGGCCCTCTATATTCCACTAATTGAAAACCATTTTTATGGTTAGGAGAAAGATGAAAAAGAGTTACAATCAAACAACATTTTCAAACTGTAGAATTTAATAGCCACTAATTTAAAGTAAAATTTGTTGGAAAAAAAGTATATCATAAAAACTGGTACATATGTATATCAAAAATATTACAAATGTGTATTTTTTATCTTAATACGGCTTCAGCAATGTTGGTAAAATACAAAAAAGTCAACCAGTGGGTCACCTAATACAACGTTCTACACACCTTTCATAAACTACTTTAATAATAAATAAACATTATTAAAATTTTCTTACAATCAGTATTTATTTATCTTTTTATTTTGTCCGTTTTATGACTTCCCAAGGGCCACCGGTATGGGTTATTACTTATAACTCGCTAGTAGAAGTTTAGATCTTAAGCTGAAAAAAATCATATATGATTAACAGATTATTTTGTATGTAATTATCATGACTTTTCAAAAATCCTCAATTATACAGGGTTTTTAATTTAGATACTATAATATTTGCTTACCAAAATTTTTAGGGATTACCTGTACATTCTCTCCTCCATTCTGGTTAAAACACATTACATTCTGTACAAGTTACTACAATTATTAGTTTCCTATTTTAAAAAATAACAAAATTACAGGTGTGGTCAATATATCAAGTCAATATCCCTGTAACCTGCTTTTAGTGTGGACAATATGTTGTTGATTTAGATGTTAAAAGTAGCGGTAATATATTTTTTACTCATTCCACAACAATTACAGAACGACGAGGGGGCGCCACTAATGTGTTTCTCAGACGTGGATGATCGGTGGGAACTGCAGGGTATTCTCAGCCACCACGAAAACTGCGGCATGAGCAAACACCCTGCTATCTATTCAAGTGTAAATTCAAAACTCAGGAGATGGATTACCGACACCATAGGTGAGGCGTTAAGAAGCGGATGAACTAAATAACGTTGCTGTGATCTAGAATTGTTAGAGACTGTAAAATATTGTTGATTGTTGAAATGTAAAAACTATTTAGGCGCGATAATCCGTGCAAAACGCGGAGATGTTTTTAGCTGAAGCGCCGTTCTTTGACTTCGGTATATATAGCGTGATTCAAAAGTAAATGTAAAGTTTTCAAGAGCTTATTTTTCTCGAAAATGAACAAAGTTTCTACAGAGACCTGGAATTTGTTTACTTTAGTGAACTTCAACCATAAACCACAAACGCGCTTTTAAAATTTAATTTAGAGCTATCATTCTTATAAAACTTTGTGGAGAAATCGGAAATTTTTAAAAGCCACATGGCATATTCGTAGGAATTTATTTTCTTATTTTTATAAGGTCGTCAAATGTTTAATTACTTTCAAATCACACTGTATTTCGCCGTCAAGCTGCTCAAGTGTTCTTTGTCGATTTTTAATAAGTAACAAATAATTTTTGGCCAACGAAATTTCTTAGGTGTGCCAAAAAGCAGACACGACTGAGGATTGTTATTCTATAGCTATTTATTTAAACGTTCGAGGCTATGTAACTTGCAACAAACCATCCCATAACGCAATAACCCATGTAGTTGTAAGTATAATGCTTTATATTCATATCCGCTTGTATTTTAATGTAGGTTTGCTGATTTACATTCCTAAAATTATATAGGTGTCCTTTATTGGACGATTTTGGAGTGTATGGGGATTAATCGTACAGACGCAACGTTTCTATTGCGTGGTTGGAAATCTGGATTGGTTAGTAAATATAAAGTTAGTTTGGAGTTTGAACTATTATGAACAAAGTATAGTCAGTTTAATTAATGGAATTATTTCAATTTAAATGAAAAAAAAACAGTGTGTGACGAAGCAATTAAAAAACAGTGGGTTTTGAAAATTTCACATTTGTTTGGTGATGCTGAAAATTTTTTAGAAATTGTACAGTCTACAAAATCTCTGTCGACAATTTTTACTTTTTCAATACGTTAGCAGGCTCATATGTTAATGCAATCTTTGATGGAATCAAAGTACCCCAGATATACAGTATTCTTGCTCTGTAGACAATCTCCTTATATTCCAAAAGACGTCTATAACATTGTTAGATGCCCTATACAGCGTGATCCCCTTTAACTAGTTCATCTTAAATGCCCGAAAGAAATTAAAACTGTACCTAGTTATATAGCTTTTGGAAAAATTATACAGAAAAAGTTATTTTAAGTAACTATATACAACCATACTTTGTAACCTTTTGGGGCACTTAAGGTAAAAACGTTGAAGAGAATCGGCATTGTAAGGAATATACAAGGTAGCCCATGGCCAAAAAGATATCGGAAAGCCTTTTCTACGAAGAAAGGAATGAAAACGACCTTTTATGATGTACTTATGAGTAATCCTCTTAATCAACACATTGGACAAGTGTTTTTTTTAGACACTTTCTGTTGGCAGTTATAATTTCTGATACGTTTTCTGTGATCCACCTTGTATTGTAATATGTGCAGATATGTTGTTCAACTACCATAATATTCCTATGAAGGATATCAAAGCAAATCAACGCAAACACGAAAAGTATAATTAAACCACTAGAAGTTGCCCAGAACTTATACCATATTATTATTATTCTTAACGTTGTAAATATTGTATATTTTTCTGCTCATAAAGAAATGAAAACAATTTATGTAGCAGTATGATAATACTTAGTATTAGTTTTTGAGGAACTCGTCCAAAAAACCGTCCCACCACTTTTGCTAGTCAAGCATTTTCGTGCCAATGTGCAAATGATGGGGTACCTTTAAAGTAACTCTTTATATTTTGTATATAGAATTAAATTTTTTTCATTTACTATTACTTTTACGTTAATAAATAATTACATAATTTAGAACCAGTGTTTTTTCTTTCCTTATTCGCAATACGACTAACGAATAAATAACCAATAAATATAAGGTTAACACCCTACATTCAACGTCTTGATCCTTCCTATCCATTTGTGTAATACTAGTCCTCTATCACATGTGCTTCAATCGCTATTAAAGAACAAGATATACAGACTAGTTCCCGTTATCACAAAGTTATCTTTGCTACTGCCCAGATGTATGACCTACCAACTGAAAATTTCAGTTTTCGGTTCGTTTATTTTTTTTATAGGATTATTTTCAAATTTACAGAAAATCCAGAAGTACCTAATTAATTTTGCACTTCATCCCGTACCGAATTTCATTTGTTTTAAATTAAACAACTTTGATTTTTCTATTGTCTATCTATAGTCTATATGATCGTGGTCAACTCAGAACGGTTTGTCTCAAAAAGTTTCGTAGCGCATCTCATGGAAACACCAGTTTTGACAAAATTTCTCAGTAGAGGGTGTTATTATTGCCCTAAATGAAACACATTCCTTCCTGAAAAATCGAAAAAATTATGAACTACGATCATATAAATCGTTCTAATAGGCCGGAAATTTTAAAACCTTTATGTTTTATTTATTTGAGTTTTCAACATATTGCCTCTAGCTTTTTAAGCTGCTATAATTTTTATTTCCACTGTTAATTCAACATTAAGCTAGCAAATTGTTCTTGCCCAATTGTTGTTGCTTGGTTGTAAATTGTCACAGTCACATAACACGAAAGTGTTTAAAGACATGAACTCGGAAAAACAATTGATGGTGCAAGCATAACGTCATATATTTCAAAACAACCATTTTTAGTGAGAAGAAAATTTTCAACACACCTACACTAAAAGGTATAACCGTCTTTTATATAATATTAATCTTTCCTGCAAAAAAATGGAGTGTCTTTTTTGTCAGAGTACTGCAAGTGGTTTATCAAATAAAAAAGGTAGAAGCTTGTTTTTCGTTTTGCAAATAATTTGTGGAACACGAGACTTATAACTACAAATACAAATACAAAAGTATATATAAAAACAATTGAGACAATCAGCTAAATGAAATGCCTTAAAATGTATATATTATAGATGGTATTATAGTATATAACATTAATAGGAATTAATAAATAATGTACAAAAAATATTAAGTTACAAGTTTGCACCATTTTCTCAGTCTCAAGCATCGATGGAGCTCTAATATATGTATCATAAATATACAACATTGTTATTTTGCAATAGATTAATATAATTTTTTTCAGTACCGATAAAATAGACATAGCACATTAAAATTATTGACCGAACAGATTAAAAATAGACAGACAAAATAATAGTGTGTAATATTTTAATCCCCTGTCAAACTTCAGGACTAAGAAAACTGTGCAACTAATGAGCTAAATTTATTCTTCACTAACAAATTTTGGTTGCAAGGCGACCTCAAGGTCACTAATAGCTTGGTCCATCTGAGTAAACAAAATCTTAATTGATCCAGTGATATCATTGTATTGTTGTAACGTCTTAAGAACATTTTGTATTACTTCCCGACTTTCCTCATAGGTAGCAAGATTTGCTACTGCAAGTCGATCCAGCTTCTCTGAAAGTTCAGTTATCTTGGTAATATTGACGGAGTCGGTAAAAGGTACAAGATTTTCAAATGTTCTAATCAACTGAACAGTATCCTGCAAGTCTGGATACAATTCCAGCAAATAATGCCGCTTTGCTTCAACTTCCAGCTCACTTTCACCATTGCAGGGATCAAGGTATTCATTGATAGTAGTCATATGTTGTAAAATTGATGTAATCGCGTCTCGACAACTTAGTGCTGAAGAAATCATGGTTTGGGTGTGTAGAAGCAGATCAGTTATGGACTGCGATTTAAGATTCAAAGTCTTGTCTTTTGGGAGGATTTTCAATTCTAATGCTTCGATGCGTTTTTCTAACAAGTCGATAACGTCCATGTTTTAAACACTCTACTAAAACTACAAATTATACCCATCAGTTTACAGTAATCCTAACCGAAGTAGCTACTTACTACGTACGCGACGCCAACCTTGCCAACAATAATAAAAATCGGAATTACAAAACACCAGAACCCATAGACTAAAAATTTAGAATAAAAAATCAAAGCAAAGTATCTGCATATCTTCCCGTTGAAAATAATGACTTAGAACATGAGAAAATGACGTCAGAGCGTTACCATCGTTGCATGCTTTATGACAAACGAATTATAAACAGTGTATTGTAAAAATTAATTGATCGAAATTAGTAATTGAAATATAATTTTTAGGTTACGAGTTATGTTTTTCATTTATTGTTTTTATTATTATTAAAATCAAATGCTCAGGTCGCTATGCCAATTTTTGTTGAAGGTGCAGGGTTAGAAATTATTAAATTAATGCACATGCGTATACAGCACAAATCGCTGCTATAAGGAACAGTTCGCGCCAGGAGCAACTGGACTTCTGCCGGTCCTTTTTGGTCCTTCGCAGTCATAAAATAATGTCGGCGTTAACGAGCTCTTCGGAACCAAAAATGTAAATATACCAAGAGAGTAAAGCTTTTAGAAGCCGTTTCGTAGAATTTAGAAAGCCTTAAATTGCATGGTAGAATTAAAGCGGAAGCACGAAGTTAAAAGGAGCAAACACGTGCATGAACGGCAGCTGTAGTCGGGAGAAATCAATAATTTGATGGAATTGAATCCCGTAATTTAAATTATTGCAAAAAGTGGTTTTGCGTATAATAAAAATGCTATTATAGTTATGATTTAAAAAAGAGTATAGTTATTTATATTTTTTTACTGCTCGCACAAATTGAGGTAAAAATAGAAGTTGCGCAATAAATGAACGTTATGGTGGAAACTGCTGAAAGAAACCGCAAAATAAAACATTTATTTTTATTATTAGAAACCAAGGAGTGCTTAAAGTTTTGTACATATCAAAATTTTCTTATGTAGAAATAATATATACTTCGCTGTGGCAGCTCAAATTTTTAAAAGTAATTGTGCTTTTTTTGGAAAGGAGTTAGTATAAAGCACTTGGCTTTGTCGGTACTTAAAAATGTAAAAGAAAAAAAAACAATCTCTTGTTGCATTTAAGTCGATAATAAAAGACATCGTAACCGGACATTTTAGAACTCCATATTTAATAGACTATTTTGCAACAAGTTTTTTAAACAGTTGAGAAATAAAGATGATGCATACATACTATCCCTCCCAAGTCATAATTAAAATACCAGAAATGCTAAAAATGGCTCGTGAGAGTGTTTAACGAAGCTAACATGCATGATAGGTATCTGACTAAAATCTATTTTTAATTTAGGTAATTTAGAAACAAGAAGAATTATTTTTAATGATTGATTAATTGACTCTTTGACCCTTCTAATTAATTTATAGCACTCACTACCCGAGCACAAATTTGAAAATTACGTTCTTCGAAAAACCGAACCATTTCCGGTTATCCCGAAAGCATATTGTTCATGCTGATGATCTTTTTATTTGTCAAACATTCTCTTGCATTTTTATCCATCGGATTATCTAAAAAAATTGAAAAATCAATATACAGTGTGTTTGTTAACTAACACATAGAGAAATTACCGCCTAATTTTAAGTCGAAAATGTGGCATAAAATTTGTTGGAATGTTGCTTCGTTTTTGAAATACAGGGTGTTGAAAAAATAAAATTTTATGCGTTTCCTTTTTATTATTCATTTAGTATTTTGTATTCATTTTAATCTTTTCAATTAGTTGACTGGCAAATTTCCTCAGAATTTCTCAATAATTTATCAAAATAATGATAATTACTGTTGCTGTACCTATCTTAATTAAAGCCACATGGGCAATTAAAATGATTGCTTACTATGAAACTGTTAGAGACAAGGGAAAAATTTAAGAAAGTAATTTGATTAAAATTAATTAACCGCTAGTATTTATTTTTGCGAAATTATGGTACTCGTTACCCGGATCTTCGCCAGTGAAGTAAATAAACAGTTTAAAATGGGCACAAAATAAACTACTAAAACCTAATATTATGTGTACCAAAATTAAATTAAATTAAAATTTTGCTAGTGGCATCTTAAGTCGAATCTGTCCGATCTCAGAAATGTAATTTTAAGATAACAATTATAAAACAATATACAATAAAAATCACGCAAAATTACACGTCAAAACGTGGCAACACTATTACGTGTTGCATACAAAAAAAATTTCACCCTGTTTGTCAGAAAACTTATAATTAAGCTTTGAAATGGGAATTAGGGTCTATTCCTTTAATTTCTCCGAAATTACTGCTTAATTCTGAGAGGGCTGTGTCTACAAAATGATCTGTTAGGTGTTGGGAGAAAAGCGGTGCAACTCCTGGAATCTCGATTCGTTTAATGCGGTTGTGGTAGAACCTATTCTACAAATTTGTAAATATTGAATTAGAATTTTTAGCAGAATTGAAAAATAAAATAGTATAAAATAATTTTAATATGCTGTGTGTAATTACCAAATAGCCAACGCTTCCTTGCTTTCAAAATTCCACGACAAATGTTTATGTGTAATGTATAATATGCTAGAAGATATCTTTGAGTTGTTATAATAACAACGTTGTGAAAGAACTAATGGGCGTTTCTAAATTTTCGTAATTGTTTTATTTCAGACCTTTCAAAATGTACCTTCACAACAAGTAAACCTTCATCGCCCAAAAACCTCTCAGCAATATTTTTGTTCATTCTCGAGGAATATGTTGGAGCCGTACTCACCTGATTTGTTATGGATTATTATTTTGGGCTTCGTTATCGCGTTTATTTTGGCATTTGGGATTGGTGCAAACGACGTTGCCAACTCATTCGGTACCAGTGTGGGTTCCAAAGTTTTGACAATATTCCAGGCTTGTTGGCTAGCGACGTTCTTTGAAGTGGCTGGTGCTGTACTTATCGGTAAATGACATGCTTCTCCTATCCGATGAACTTATGATTCTGATATACAACATTCTCGTAGGATTCAAAGTATCGGACACCATGAGGAAAGGCATATTGGATGTAAATGTTTACAAAGACGCTGAGACTGAACTGATGTTGGGCTCAATAGCTGCCCTAGCGGCAAGCGCTACATGGCTCATGGTTGCCACATTTTTTAAGCTACCCATATCCGGAACTCACAGCATAGTAGGGGCCACCGTAGGATACAGTTTAGTAGCCAGGGGGACTAACGGCATCCATTGGAAAACTCTAGGAAAAATCGGTTTGTAGAATACTTAAATGTAGTCATAGTCGCTTAGAAAATGCATGTCAAATTTGTAGTTGGTTCATGGTTCATCTCACCGGTGCTAAGTGGAATATGCTCTGTGATCTTCCTATGGATAATAAAAAAATGCATACTCTCAAGACCGGATCCTCTCGAAGCGGGACTGACATCTTTGCCCCTGTTCTACAGTTTTACAACTTTGATTAACGTTTTCTCCATAGTGATGGACGGACCTAAGATGCTCTATATGAATAACATTCCTTTATGGATGTCGGCTGTAATCAGTTTGTTAGTCGCGTTCCTATGCTTGACCATCATATGGCTAGTGGTAGTGCCATGGCAACGGAAGAAAATCAGGGCAGATTTGGCTAACGAACGCAATGAAGTTAGTTTTAACATTGGAAGGTCGTCAGGTAATACTTTTGCACTAAAATACCTAGTTTCTTTAAAATTTCGGGAATAATGAATAAATAAATGAAATTTCCAAAGTTCATTTCAAAAGTAATGTACTACTAACACTAAAATACTACTAACACTAAATACTAATATCATTTGTAATACTAAATAAGCCATTTTTATAAAATTAAGAAACTATAAACCGACAACATTGAATGTTATCTATCATTCCAACCAACTGGTACTTTATCAACACAATTGCTTAAGAAATAAAGATGGGTGAAAGAACCAAAACATATTCTCCAGCCCTGAAAATGAATAACGGTTTAAATAATTTGTTCGATGATTGTACAAAATTTGTTCCTAAAAGTATGTACACAAGAAAAAAATAAATTAGATTTTTTAAAATAAAATTGAATAATTGAATATTATTATAATAGTAATAATATTATAATATTATTATAATAATGAATAAGATGGAAAGTTTGTATAAATTCACGTTACCAAATTGATATTTACCGTAAAGATTAGAATTTAGGTCTAATGAGCTAGAGAAAACAAAACAATTCATTTTTAGATACTTCTCCGGAGGAAAGCCCTAAGCGATCTAGTCGAGAGTTTGCCGTCTCAGAACGTCAATTAACAGTAATATCAGAAAATACGGAGCTTCAGTCGTTAGACGCCAAATTTAAAACTTCCAAGTATATTTTTTCGAAGGATATTAGTGATAGCAATGGTTACATTCAAGCTAAAGAGACTGAAGTGCAAACTAAGTAAGTACATATGTATCGGTAAATCCTGTGTAAGTTCCGTGCAATATTGGGTATGGTCTGTTCATAGATATAACTGACCAGTTGCTTTTTAATGAGATTATCCAAAGGTCAAAATAAATAAGAACTAAAAGTTCAGATTTTCACGAAATTATATATTATGACATGACAATTGTTTCGACAACACCGTGTCTTTATCAAATCAAACATTTGATAAAGACACGGTCGAAACAATTGTCATGTCGTAATATATAATTTCGTGAAAATCTGAACTTTTAATTCTTATTTATTTTGATAAATGGATTTTCATCAAGTAAAAGCCACCTCAGTTCAATTTATCCAAGGGTGCTTATTAATATACAACGCAACAATATTATTACCTAAAGTTTCGGAATTTAAATTCAGGTAAAACTGTGGTCCGTAATAGAAAATAATTTTATGCCTACTTATGTTTAATATTCTTTGGTTTGGTATACTACTTAGTTTAAATTTATTAGTAATCATTCTTATTTCGTGTATAATACAGCGTGTGTTGAATCGTGTGCGAATTATGCAAAATATGTGCGAGTCTAGTGTCATTGAACGTGGTGCCAGCAAGCAAGCATCTTTAGAAGAAACGGCCACATTGACGAAAATTCCAACATCAACTGTATGAAAAATTGTGAATAATGTCATTTCAGCGAGGAAAACAAGAAGCCATGCTGACTTGTTCTCGAGTGTAGATGAAAGTGATCAAGATATAATACGGCGTAAAATTTACCAGTTATACGAAGAACAAAGCGTGCCTACATCTTAATAGCGTCATTGTATTGGACAATGCAAGTTATCATGGTAGACAGTTGACTAAAACTCCTTCCTCATGTGACACAAAAGCAAAAATCCAAAACTACACGTATAATAACGACATTTATTTTCACGAAGATTATACCAAAAAGCAATTAATTGAGGTTCTACAAAGCTTGAATCTACAAAAGGAATACGTCTGTGATAATTATGCAAAAAATCTAGGGCATACAGTTTTAAGGCTTCCACCTTACCACAGTATATTTAATCCCATGCCTTAATGGAGAAAATTGTCGGTTTCCGGCTGTGTCGGTTCAATTTTTGTAGGATGCATATGATTTTTTTAAATAATAAATTTGTTACTTATAAATTGTTAATATTTTAAAATTATAAATAAATACAAAAGTTTTTGTCTTTAAGTTAAGTTTGCTATAAAGTAACGTTTTACTTTTTTCTCTATGATAATGCTTCAAAGAAGCCTTTAAGAGTACGTAAATTTTGATCAGTTCGGATATGATATATATATCCGCAAATTTAAATAAGAATCGACAATTATTTTAACTAATTTAACTCCTCGCATTTAATAAATGGAAAATTATTAAGGCATTTTCTTTTCCACCAAATTGGAGCGCATATTAATATTTTTGCGCATCTTAATTTTTTTCCCTTCTCTAAAAGACTTTGTAATGTGGTATTTATATTTTTTTAATCGATTCAATTTGTTGCTTACTGTAGCATTTGGCTGCACTTCATTGTATTAATTGTATTGAATAATTGGTGACTTCTAACTGGGGGTAGTTATTTTATATTGTTCTGATTATACATATTTCGTATGGCATATACAAAGCACTGTTCAAACACAAATCAACAAAGAAAAAAAGTAAAAGGGCAAGAAATATATAGTCTAATACACTAGATCATAATAACTACAAACAGTACGTTTAAAGTTTGAAACCTAGCTCAGCGATCCATTTTATCCATTCTTCTCTTCTCTCTAGAGACAGTGAAATGAGAACTTTGCTTTACTTAATGGACATTCTGCTGCAGTATGTGCAAAGTGTCCACAATCGCAGTTAGGACGGCCAATCATTCCGCACTTATTGGTCTTGAAACGGTTAAGGGTTGTCCCACGTTGTCTTCGAAATAGTGAAGCCAGGAAGGCAAAGTATTGGATTATTTGTGCCCATTCTTCTCGCCAACAATCCTCGACTTTGAAATTATCAGCTATTAATTGTTGGCCCAAGAACCATGGAGGTTTTCTTGACTTGGGGCGTTTGATATAATTTCTAAAATGTTCGTGGATGGGTTGCTAATCATTGCTAATGCACTTTTTCCACCCTTTGATCAGAGCCGACTTTCTTCGCAGGTCAGGGAAAGTGATATTTGATAAAACCGGTAATCACGGAACTGGAGTACTTCTGACAATGCTCGTTACAGTTACAGAAGCCGCCATTTGCGGGAGAGTTCATTTAACCGCAAATCATCCGACAGGATATTTCCGTTGTGAAATCAGATATTTGCTGATATAAATTTTTAGAGATCGCGATAGGGAGATAGCAGGTGTAAATGTTAAAAAGAACAAGAGCAAGGACAGAGACCTGCGGAAGGCCGTCGTTAAGATGGACGGATTTTTCGAGCATGTTATTTAATAACATTTAAATATTTTAACAAACATCGACATCATTCCGACCCTACAAACCAGGTCATATAATATTTTCCACCCTCTAATCTAATCGTCCAGAGTTCAGATTTGGTTGCTATAGCTCAAGAATCTCTTCTTAGGAAGTTTCTTTAGTGTACTGTTATTTATTATTTTTAACTCTAAAACGGTGTACTATATTAAATCGAAATATCAGCTCTAATATTACAGTCATTAATTTCTATTAAGTCGTGTGTCACATTAATATTGTATTCTGATGAGTATATAAGAGTTTAAAGTAGTTTTTTGTTTCTGTATGATACTCTTATGAACATAATTTTGTTTGCAGGCCTAAAGACCTGAAAATATGCGACAGTTCCTCGAATATCAATCCCGCCCTTTCCCCCAGCTCAAGCGGAGTCCCGTTGATAAACAACAAAAGTTACAATAAAGAAAACTGCCCCGACGAATTTCGTGTTACTTTACAGGAAAATCCCGAATTACTAACCGAAAATAAAAGCGTCTCAAAACTGTTTAGTTTTTTACAAATTTTAACGGCCGTGTTTGGAAGTTTTGCTCACGGCGGAAACGATGTCAGGTATACACTCTCTCGCCTTCCTGTAATTTATTCATAACATATGTATAATCCAATATTTTCAGCAATGCAATTGGACCATTAATCACGCTATGGCTTATTTACTCCGAGGGGACGGTTGCGCAAAAATCCGAAACGCCCTTGTATATTTTACTGTACGGTGGGGTCGGTATATCTGTGGGTCTGTGGCTGTGGGGACGTCGCGTAATCAAAACCATTGGGGAAGATTTAACTACGATAACGCCATCTACGTGTGTTCTTGTCGTATCGCACCATTGTTTTAAACGAATAACCCATTTTATTTTAGGGGATTTACAATAGAAATTGGTGCCGCTTTTACCGTGTTACTTGCGAGCAAAATTGGAATTCCCATTTCTACAACGCACTGCAAAGTTGGTTCTGTGGTGTTTGTCGGGTATTTTAGTTCATCCAAAAAGGGTGTTGATTGGGGCTTGTTTCGGTAAGTTTTATCAGAATTGTCCGTTTTCTGTGAATACTTATTCGGTTCAAAACACGGGCTGCCCAAAAACCTTCCATTTTGGCAGTTGTTCCAATTTTATTATACAATTGGTTATGAAATGTTTCCCAAATCCTTAAAGTAAAGCACAGCTTAAAACACATTTAATTCACTAACCTATCAATCATCACCCAAAAACGCAATATATTATGCTCGTTACTTGTGTAAACAATTTTTTTTAAATGTAGCTAACAATAAAAGCATAAACTTTTTAACTTAATTTTAAAAAAATCGGTCTTGTATCACAAATTCAATCTTTTTGACATGAAACTTAAATGGACAAACACGTATAATAAGACCAACTGACTATACCAACTATCCGCTTCCAAAAAAAGGGTTTCTTTAGAAACCTCGTATTTATTTGGTGGATAAGTAAGGAAAAGTTGTATGTTTGAATATCTACTTCTATTTTAATATAAATCTTGTGGTCAAATTTCTATAAATTTCGTTATTATTAAATAAAAATAAATGTATACAATTTTTAATTTTCACTAATTTAAAACATTACCGTTATGTAAACCCTGAAATTATTGCAGGAACATTATCTACGCCTGGGTCATAACGGTTCCCATAGCTGCGTTACTATCGGCCGGGATTATGTTTCTCCTAAGTTACCTTCATTAGACAAACTAGAGCTGTGGTGTTAGTTTATAAGCGTAAATGTTAAGCATGTTAGCTTAGATTTAATTTATTCCTGTCATAATCGGTAAAACAGCGCCTATTAAATTATTTGAAATTTTATTGCCTCTATATACATATTTCGATTTTAAAAATGTTATGAAAGGTTATGATCTTCTCTGATGTCTGGACGCGAATGAGACACGACTTTAAGAGTTTGCTCTAAAGCGATTGGGGCAATAAATACTAGTTGTAAATGTTCACCCATTGTGTATCCATTTTTTTTTCTTATTTCTTAAAATTGATTTAATGCAATAATGATTATTCGTAATAGCCGTTTTGCAAAAAATAGCCTTAAAACAACCACGAATAAGCTAAGGTGACTGAAGGGAGGAGATTCAGTAGCGAGTACTTATTTTTATATAATTATAAATTCATTTGTTATTTTCCTCAAAAACTTCAGATTTTTTCGTTATTATTTTAAAGATTATTTTTAACAAAACAGCTAATATACATCAATCGGTACCTGTACATATACAGAGTTTTCGGAAAAGCTGGTGTACATCAGAAGGAACATAGAGTGAAAATAAAAGCAAAATTCGTATAAAAATCTCGTATACACACACATCGTTTGGAATATCCGAATAGAAAATCAGCCCACCAAACATGCCAGTTATTTAAATTTTTTTTAAATAACTATGAATAAGATAATGGAATATGATACTTTGATATAGTAATAGTACATTTCTTAAATTACCATGGATTCTGTAAATATCAAATGTTTTTCGAATTTTGTTAATTCTTTGACCTTATCGAGCCAATAATTTTATAGAAGTGAGAGTTTTCATAACTATTTTGACCTCTAGTTATGTTTTTGTCAACTTTTCCAAATTATTCTATCAATCAAATTCCATCTAATAAAATTTCTCCAATAAAAAAAATTCAATAAATATTTTTGTCATTTATCACGTCCCGACTTCAAAGTTGAAAATAAATCAAAGTGTATAAGTGATGTAAAAAAGTGGTGCATGAAAGGCACTTCTGTGATTCCTAAAGAGTTATATAAAGCGCGGCTTTTAACAAACAATGGTACTTTAAAGTACCATGAAGATTATAGTACAATCCAAACGGCGCTCCGATTTGTTTGGGTCGAATGTTATGGCCATTATTGACTTATTCTTTTCAGAATCTATTTTGTATTTTAATTCAATATTATAAATTTAAAAAGTTTTTCTAAAATACCATATGTGTGTTATTGCTTACCCCAAGACGAAAATTATAGCAAAGGATCTACAATTAAGAGACAAGAGAACCGCCAGAGAAATGACATGATGAAAAAGAGATTTACCAGATTAGCACCTTTTCGACAGTATTTTCTCAAGGCACGCCGAGAGGAAAAAACGAGTTATGTCTGAGGAGCATGTAGCAAAATTATATCATATACAGGGTTCCCATAAGTAATGATACATAGCAAAATTTAAAGAAACTTACCTTAGCCCAAAAGTTGATATTAACATCAAAGTTGCAATTTCATTTTTATTTTTTTAATAATTTCTCAAATAATCGAGCTTTTTGTACAAAATTTGGCAAATCGGGGTTTTTGCGCCTAAGCCGATTTTTAATACGACATAATTGTTTACACCTTTGTTACACAAACAAGGCGTACCTTTTAAATTTCACTTAGGTTTTAATAAATTTCTTTACTGTTAATCAGTATATTGGGTGTTTTTAAAAAATTTTGGATAGTTTTCCGATAATACATAAATTGTTTTCCAACGAGGAGATACGTGACATTATGTGTTCATTCGCACAAGAGAATTAAAATGGGCTTCGACTACATAGAATTTACGAGGGCCACCTTATATATTTCGGGATTTGTAATAAAAAACTATAAGCAACCAATAAATATAACTTTATTGTTTCTCAAATTCACCCTGATGATCATATCATGCATCATGCATTCGATAAAACCAATCATCAAAGCACGTTTCCTACATCGATTCGGGCACCTCCAAAACATGCTTTTTAAATCGCTTCTTCTGGTGTCAAAAATCGTTGCCCACGTAATTTATTCTTAATATATAGGAATAAAAGGAAGTCATTAGGTGCTAAATGAGAACTATATGGGGGATGGCTCATCAAATCAACGTTTTTAATGCTCAAAAAGTTCTTTGTTTGCACTGATCGTTCGGCGGTTGGTTTTTCTAATTTCTTCGAAGACTAACCAAAGAAACAGTTGCAACGTGGCCAGTTTTTCTGAAAAAAAGAGGCTACCATTTATTTCGAGGTGCTCCGCGCACAGAGCACGAACAACTTTTGTGGGGTTTGTCTCATTCTTATTATTCTCATTCTTACTTTCAAATTCATATGCATAGATCCATGATTCATCACCTGTCACGATATCGGAGACATGTTTGGAAGCACCGCGATCGTATTTTTATAGCATTTCCTTAGACCAATATACACGAGCCTTTTTTGAGCTGATGTCAATTTTTTTTAGCGGTAAAATGTTCATCCAAAATTGTATGTATGGTGGTCCCACTAATGTCCAGAATACCTCAATCTCATGGTAAGTCACATGACGATCCAGCAAAATCAGTTTCCGCACTGCATCAATGTTTTGTCGGACAACCACCGATTTTGGACGACCTTCAGGAAATTCATCCTTAAGAAAACTACAACCACGACTGAAGTCCGAAAACCAGCGACAAACAGTAGGCCTAGACGGTGCTTTAACTCCAAAAGTTAATTATTAATTAAGTTCCATTTTTAACAGTCGCAATTTTTTTAATTTATCACAAAAAACACAAACACTGATTACAAATGATTACAGTGCGGAATAACCTCAATTTTTTGCAAACGGAATTGGCCGATTTTCTGGATAATCTATCCTTAAAGAAGAACAATGATTTTAAGTCAGACATCTTGGTTGCCTAGGAGTCCATGTGGTTCTTTCGGGCACATGCACAGGATTGAAAATGCCGCTGAATCATTTTAAAACAAGGAATTATTTAAAATCAGGCAGTATTTCAATAAGTGTGTATCTAAATGCTTTACAGTGAACATTGAACATTTTTTGCCGAATAGAAATCTTTTTTTATGAATGGTTTTTTATTTTACTTTAGTCGACGTCGAAGTTTTTTTGAGTGTGTACTACCATATTAACTCAGTAATATGGAATATTGGAGCTGGTCAATTGACCACTTCTTAATTGGCCGTTCAAATGACCGACAATTAATTGACTAGTCAAATTCCATGAAAATGTTTTAAATAACAGAGAGTAGAGTGTTATCTATCATTATTTAATAATAATAATATGTTTTTTATAATAAATTATTACACGTTTGTGATATCCAATTTACCTATAACCCTCTTAGGGACACCCGAATACGATACTTAGCGATTCAGAGAATCCCAATAAAAATATCCACTCCATTCTCAGAACGCGATGGCGACGTATCGCACAATATAAATAAATAGTTATAAATTTCATTGTATTTTTAAAATTATTTCGGTCAACTGACAAAAAAAATTGACCGGTCAATCCCACAGCCCTAGTATTATCTAGGTATTGATAATTTCAAACCCAAATTTCTGGAAGACAGCAACTCGGAGCGAAATTTAAAAAGTATGCCTTTTTTGTGTAAAAAAGGTGTAAAAAGTGAATCTTTATTAAAAATCTGCAGAGACTAATGCCCATAAAATTTGCTGCAAAACTATTCACGAAAATTGATTCCTCATGTCACAAAACACCGATTTGCCAAATTGTGTAAAAATCTCGATTATTTCAGGAAATTTAAAAAAAAATCAAAAATAATATTGCAAGTTTGACACCCTGTATCACAGTTAATATCAACTTTTGAACTAAAATAAGTTATTTTTACTCAAAGAGTCTCCCATTTTGCCATGTACCATTACTTATGGGACACACAAAAGGTAATAATTTTCGGCGCATGCCTCTACATTTCACCCACTAACCTACACGTTGGAATATTTTCTTTCTAAACAGCGATGTCCACAGCTAAGTCGTTTAACGAGATCTAGGCATATTTTCACAAAAAACTATCCCCAAAAGCCCGATTGACTAATTGAACGACCATGTTGGTAGTCGAATGGCGCAATGTCATTGGTTAAAAATAAAATTTTAAATTTAAACCTCTTTTTTTTATAGTTGTTTCATAAGTTCCTGTATTATAGGCATAAGCAAAGCCTCTATATATCTACTAGCTATATGGTGTCGAGAGACCTATTTGAAAGAAAACGGCGCAAATCCGGATTTGAGTGTGACACTGATGGCATGCGCGGAAAACGTCAGCCCCTCTATACTATGTCATAGGTATGTCGTACAAAATTATAGATAATCAGGAAAGTCACAGAAAATGAGTTCCGTGAGCACCCTCCAAAAATCCCAACCAGAAATATAAAACAATCTCTTGTTACTTATCTGCTATTAGTATTCACCAGTATGAATAAGAAAAGAATACCAATTACTTCCCCTCTCGCTCTAAATAAAATTTACTTCACAAAATCGATATTCGCTGCATTATCAAACCCATTTTAGATTACATCAAGTTCGCTGTTAATTTATCCACGTTTACATATTGAACTTCTTCTCTATTTAAGATTTAAATTACATTTAAATAAAAACTTTTTAATGAGAATCCCATATGTTATTAAATGTAAACCATTACCGTCGCCCTTATATTAAAAGCTCTTTTAAATTGTCTTGATCTTCATTTAATATTATTCACATTTGGTAGTCTAACCCTTTGCTTTAGCTGAAAACACAGCACTTGTCGTAGAACTCTCTCTTAGTACGCCAGCATTGAAAAAAAGTTTAAGCTACAATATTTAAAATGCCTAATATCCCTATAAAATATAAAGAAATAAACCACTTAAATTAACAAGTTACAGGCGTTTTTTTGTAACTTTGGACAGAATTAATTCAAACTTAAATCAATTGGTGTTGAATTCAGATTAAAGGATTACTAAACTAATAAAAACATTATTAATAATTTGATAAATCCATTATGATCATTCAAACAGATTTAAGGAATCCTCAATGATTGATGAACAACCATGCATCTGCCTCTGTTCCAATACTTACTTGCTTGGATATACACTTGACATTTCAAGTTACTAGGTCTTAATATAATGGCGGAATAGCGGAGGAGGATCTCGCCCGTAATAGGCAAATAAATAAATATTATTTCAGTCTATCTATACTAATCTATATTGTAAATTATTATTATGCATCATATGTCCTCATCGAAAAAGCAATAAAAATAAATATATAAAAATAATCTATTTTACTAATGATCGGAAAGTTGCTTACACAACATTATTGATAATAATAATAATAATATGAAAAGTTGATAAATTTACTGAGATACCACCATTGTTTGTGTAATATAATGAAACCACAAAATAAATTAAGCTATTTCCTATGAAAGGAATGAGGTAATAACTATTCATCAACTGTCACTTCATTTATGGGCTCTTCAATGGTAACTTCATTAACATTATCCTCTAATGTTATTTCATTTACAAAAACCTCTTCCTCATGATGTTCAATAGTGTGACCAAAAATTTCTTCTGAAAGAAATGTACCTTCTTCCAAAATCACCTCCTCTTGGGGCACTTGCACAAACTGCTCCTCAAGGATATCCTCATTTTGGATGTCGTCTTCTTCTTCAGTGATCAATTCTTGTTTGAGAGATCCAACATCGATAATTTCAGGTTCCTCCTCCCTTTCAACCATAATTTCGGTTTTTATATTTTCGCAAGCAATTTCACTCTCTTCAATGTCAACTTCTACCTCGTCTGGTTGCGGTTGAATCACCTGAGTTTGTACTACGGGGGTTTTGACTATTTTTGCTGGCTTTAAGATGTAGGCTTTAGATACCTAGAGCAAAATATAATTACACAATCAAAAATCTGGAAAAAACATAAAAATACTGCCTTATCACGTAAAGAATAACTATAATAATAATTCAAATTAGGAGAACTATAAATTGACCTAATTGTTACTGAGATATACAGTAACCAAATTAGAAGAAACTCAGAAACTTAATACAAACTTTTTTACCAAATTAACAGTGACATTAATATACAGATGAAAGCAAGGATTAGGAAAAAGGTACGCTCTTTCTCTTTAATTAGGATCAAAGCCAAACTTGTACCAAAAGAGATGAAAACTATTTTGAACAATTCTTCAGTCAGGCAGATATTATTACAGTTATAACATTGCTGATGCTGTAAATTACTAAAAAAATTACAAAACTTTGACAGATGCTTGGACAGACGTAAAAAAAATGGAACTTACTCTATGATAAGAATTATAGGAGCGGTACTTTCCAATTTTGAAAACATGAACTGGAGGTTCAAAATTTTTCTTCACATGGGAGCACAGTATATAGTAAACTGTATCAACATTGTGAACACATTATATTTTCACAATTTTTGATTTCTTTGTTTAAAGAATAATTTTTAAAGTGTAGTGCAAATAACCTGAATTGTACAAGTTAAGCAGTGATTACTTTTCTCTAAAAGTAGAAAAATGAATATGTTTAATCTTGGTTGCTATAATACCTGTAGGCTGCTGCCAACCATGCTGTTTTAGAACCGGATGAAACCCAAACTACCCATAATTTCCATTCCAACGAGGGCTTCTCTAATTGAAGCCAGTTTAATTTTAAATGTTTATTTTTTCTCAAAATTAAAGTAAGTTTTTGTTATATGGTTGGCAAAACGTTAGCAAGTTTGAATTCAACAACAACCGCAGGAGAAATCCAAAAACGTCATAAATAGTATTAAAGTAGCCTCTGGAAGTTTCTTAGAAAAAATTAAGTTTTTGTTTTACCTTTTTGAGATTTGCTTTCAGCAATCTTGAATAATTTGTTATTTAATTCTCTCCTCTACCATGGTTACTGAATACATGTTGTTATATTTATTAATACTATGTTATGTTATTATACTATGTACATTTCAATCAACCATTACCTCTCCACCGGGCTGCGGCACAACCTTTAGAATGACATTTTTCCCTGATGCTGTTTTCACCATGACCAAGTTAGAAGTAAAATCGATGGCTTCCTGATCAGTTTCAACTTCTTCAGCTTGAGCCACCTCTAAATTTTCGACACTAGAGAAAAGACTAGTATTATTTTTGTTGAATTTATAAGTAACATTAAAATTAACAACTGATAAAATGAGATTTGAGAAATTTGTACCTACTGTACATAAAGGAGATTTAATTTAAATGATTCTATTTCCTTGCTAGGTTTACTGTCTTTAAACAACAAAGTATCAAATGTTCCAATAAAATTCTGACCACCATCTAATATGTTGTAACCTATTACAGACAAAAATATATAAAAAAAATTACCAACCCTCTATCTGCAGGGTTGACAGTGAGCCCGTAATGAATATCTGCATTCCATGGGTTAAACTTTCTCTTGGAGGTAGTTATTATTTCTCCATTTTCACCAATAATATATTCACTGCCATTTTCATCATAGTCTGATTGACTTTCCTCACTACCACCCTCTATTCTTTCAATTCTCATCAACTTGCTGCCTTTTTCATAGACAATATCAGCATGGTCTCTACGTGAGTTGGCTCTCCGTCTTCTTGTAATTGTATAGTGCATGGAGTCATATCCCTCCCGCCTCATCATTTCGGGAAGATATCTTCTTCGGGCGTTGATAAACCAGTTGCTTATTTGTAAAACCGTTAATCCAGTTTCTTGAGACAACACATGCTTTTCAATCTCGGTAGGGTATGCATTGAAACGATGTTCATATAGCCAATTTTTTAATATTTTCACTGAATCTTTAGGCAAATGACCTCTTCGTTTAACTGTTCTTTCAACATATTCATACTGTTGTTCATATGAGGGCTCATACTGAGCATACATGATCTGGGATGGCTCTTCATCAGAACCAGATTCATTTTCCTCTGCGCTACTTGTAGACTGAAATCTTGATTGTTCTAAAAAGAAAGATATTAATATTTCCTTCAGTGACACATCAAATATTTACAAACCTGTCTCATGAACTTGGTAATGGTGAGTAGACATAGTAGCTGATTATTCTACAAAAAAATAAAAGACTTACATATTTAAAGAAATCATGATTTATTCATTCAATATAGTTTTTAGTCCAAATAATGGATAACAACTATATAAAATAGTGATTAATTAAATTGAAATCAGATATGATTAGGAAATACCGTGTAAACTGTTTTAGGTCAACGCAATAGAAATGGCTGACGTCACCGTTAAAGGGAGGGGTCGGGCACAACATTTTTTCTTCAAGGGAAAACAATAATTCCACCGAAACATTAAAAATATCCCAAATATGAAGAAAATACTTTCAATTATTTCAAATTTAAAACTTTGATGACAAATATTTAAGCAAATGTCATCGAATGTCAATATTGTCAATTATGGCAGGTTAAGTGACGTTTATTACAAAACGAAAGCAGAAATCAGAATCCGAAGTATCAAATGATTAAATAGCTAAAGTACCTGTGATTTAAGGCAAAAATTAAATTGTTTTCTGCCGTAAAACAAAAAATGAAAGTACTGCGATGCTTACCAAAGACTTTTTGGGTCGACTCACATAACAGCTACCAACAACTACCTAACCACTTTCTGTGATTTCCATGGTCACGACTATGATGTCGTCATTCCGAGAAAATATTTAATTTTTATATCTACATTAATATTTAATATTTTAGGAGTATTCGTTATTATGATTTTAAAAACATAGATGTATTTTCCCTAAAGATTCTAAAAAAATAACAAATAGAAATGTACATATATTGTTTCCAAGTTGCCGCAACCGTTAATACAAACTTCGGCTTCTAGGGTTGTCGATCAACAGAAATCATTTCATTACAATTCATCCTCCAAAATATTTTGATTTTTTTATGAAATCTCAGGTAGCCTTTTTTTATAATTATAATAATGATAAACTATCTATCATCTGAAATATATATTTATAATTAAGTAGCCATGATCAATAAAAAAAGATCGTTCGTTTCCAAGATTTATTTAAAAGATGTACGTATTTTTCATTTCCAAAAAAAACGACGCCCGCCACAGTTCACAGAGCATGAAATGCTCTTATTTCATGAATCATCATTACTGCGATCTTGTTCTCACGCCTAAGCTGTTCCAATGTATTTTTGGCTTTATAATGTTTACTACAAATTTCGTTGTGCGGTTTGTGTTGTTACTTATTACTGTTTTATGCAATAATAATTATACCAAATACTTATAGAAATATTCTAGAAACTTATTTAAATAGAAGTAACTTATGTTTTAATTCTGCATTCTGCATGGATAGTTACATAATATACAAGGGATTATATTGGAAAAAAAGCGAGAGAAAAGTTTTCGACTTACTTTACTCCCTACTCTAAAATACATATCTAAAACGTATGCTTCATTAAATACTGTCGCGAATCACTTAGTGCGTTTCCGGTACTTTCACGGGTTTGGAAGCCATGGGATGTTTTCCGTAGATATTGAAAACACTGATGGTATTTTAACGTTTGTCAATTTTGATAGTTCTGCATCCATCACATCACCCAGGTGAATGTATTCGTGCTGTTTTGAAAAAATGTTACGGTGGTACAAAATCACATCACGTTTATAAAGCTCATCATCAATGAAACGTCAAAGCACTTTTTGCACAAGTGTAGTAATGTATTTTTGCATTAATTACACAAACAACTATTAACTACTCACGTCAAAGATATATACCTAAACAAAACAGCTGTATAAACTAATAACGACACTGAATTGGAAGGAATTTAATTAAATTTATGATATCGCGAGGAGACAATAACTCCAAGGCAATGATTACCTAAGTAGTTCGTAATTATTTAAATTAAATACCGCCGTCAAGCTTCCGTAAACAAATATTTCCAGTACCAATAATTATGTTACATAAAATTAGTTATTGCAATTTTATAATCGATAGCTTATCATACGCTGGCATCTTCATTGATCGATAGGACAATCGATTCTCCAAATATCTTTAAAAGAGCATGCAGTGGGAAAAATAGTTTCCGCTGCCAATCTACCCGTTCGGTGTCTAGAAGAGAATTTACTATACCGGATACGGTGTTGCGATAACTATTTGCTCTGAGGTTTTCTTTCATCTCAAATTGCTAATTTTGCCGGTTGCAAGTCTTATTCCCAAACGTCTCATAAAACGTTTTTCCTAAGTCAACAACGCAGTTAAACGACTGTTACTTACAGCATTAAAGTTTTTACATTTTTTAAGAAAAATAAAACATTTAGTTAATTTTGTGAAGAGCTCTCTTCAAGTTTGGGTAAATTACTTTGCCACATGACATAAAAGGTACCTTTCACATTTGAAAACATTAAAGTATAAAACGGTAATTTTAAGTTCTTTTCAATTAATTAAAAATATACAATATGAACAATCTAAACAAACGATTTTATTGATGATATCTATTAAAATATTATACCATTAAATTCTACGTAGAAAGGAAAAATTTCCATGACTCTTGAAACGGTAGATATCCATGTTCGATTTTTACCATTACGTTTTTATGAAGCATATACACCCAAACCAGTTTTCGTCTATCCCCTTTAGAAAGGGGAGTTCCCCTTTCTAAAGGGGTTCAAATTTGGCCCACCCTGTACTTAAAAACCATAATGGTAAAAACTAAAAAAAATCGCTGTAACGTTTTTGCCATGGAAAATTTTGTGTTTCTATGAAAACTTTTCCAAAGCAAATTTTTACGTACTGGTATATGAAATTAATATTTTTATAACTAATAGTTTAATCGTTTTCAATAGAAAGAACGATTTTCATATGGGGCATTCATTACCTATTTTTCGCTCTTGATAAAGGCTAATGCAATAGACGGAAGCACAAAGTGATTTATCCGATTATTTTTAAATTTGAAAAATGTTTTCTTGTTATTCTATATGTCCTATTTTAATAGGATTTTTGGCAGATATAGAAATATAATGTTGGTTTAAAAAATAAAATGAACATAGCAAACAGTAAAATTGAATTTAAAGCGCAATAATCAATGAAAAACACAAACAAAAGTTGAAAAAGAAAGAAATATAAATGAAAGTAAACGAAATCATAATAACAATTACTTCCATATGATAATATGAGAACAACTGAATTGATTGGATTGAAACGGATTTAAATTAGTAATGCCGCATGTCCTGAGAAAAGGAATATATGCATTTGCCTTATTTTTACGATACACCGGCAATTATAAAGAGGGTTGAAAATTTAAACAGTTTTTCTCGATATTCTTAAAAACGGAATTTTGGCACATACCCCTTTGGCATTTCCACGCTTCAATTCCTGTCTAGTTAGTATAGGCTTAGGGCTTAGAATACATGGGTAAATCAATTAAAATGGATATCGTTAATATCAATCAAAAAAATTATTTTGGCATCACTCAATATTAATATTTCGATTTTTAACCAAATTCATATTATTGTTATGAATCCAAGGATAACACAAAAATATTTAAACATTAACTTTTTTTTTTCTTTGGCATCATCCGCGAGGTTTTTGAAAGCGCTACGCTTCGGGCTGCTAGTCAGATAGCTGGGCTCATCAACAAAATGTTCCATTAAATCAGTATTAACAAATATTCCAATTTAATTAAATTTAAGCGGCGGTCAGGTTCCTAAAACGCAGGGTCCTTTCATTGGTCATCGCCTACAACGTTTACTGTTAGTTTTTGCGATTCCCTTTCGGGTCGATCACACGCACACCTTTGTTCTAGACCTATTCGACCGGCGACGCTACCGTCATTTTTGAGACACTCGGTACACGGCTCACGACAATTACGAATCACGTTACGGTTACTTCTCCCACCGAAATTACTTTGCCGCTCTCATTGGTCAACGCGATCTGGGCAATCGGTCCCACTCTCGGCGTCCCGAGGATCTCTGTTAAAAATGCGACTTGCATTAATCCAGAGAGCGTCTTCGCGTATGGTGATGGTGTTTTAAATGAACCCTCATTTTTGCCGGGCGTTTCACCAAAGTGATAGTGTCGTTGTGACGCTCAACTCAGCTCGCGAATAATCTGGTTTTTGATGGGTGTTGGTCCGGTCCATGTATCTTCGATATTCATGACTAGATCCACACTCATCCAAGAACGGAGTTTGGGCAACGGTGTCTTCGATCTTCGGCCGCTCCGGGTAAGTTTTTGCCAACGCCGACGCGATGATGCGTCAAATTTCGCTACACCGTCGTGCAGCATCGTACCAGCCAGAGCGCCCTGCATTATATCGAAGCGATTGTTTTACACAAAAACGTGCAAACAAAAAACGGTCGCACGAAATTGTTTAACGCACGAACTTGGGGGGGTCATTAAAAAATAACAAAATCGAAATGTTCCGTCGACGACCACTTGATACCTTTCGTTGCTGATGACCTGCGGCTTTGTAGCGGCGAACAAAGAAATCTTACCTGCTCCGAGAGTCAGGTTTTTGAAGCTCCGCAACACAGTTGTTTGGTACGAAGAGTAGTTTCCCGCACCGCACGTTATTATTAAGCATTTATTATGTTTTTTTCTTTCGTTTGGCCGTTTTCGGACTGTCCGCCGCTGACTTAATTATTTTTTCCCGGTGTCGCCACCGCGTTTTTATTTCCCTGCCGAGTTGGCTTGCAGTAGATATTCCAATTTGTTTTTTTTTATGCTATAGGGAAAATCCACTATTTAACGAACGGTTGGTCCTCAAAAAGTCATCGGATTTTCGATTTTTAGTCAAATATTTATTCCATGGTTCATTAATATTTTGTTTTTTTTACCCACGATTCACAATGATTTATACAAAATTTGCATTGTATTTCTATTCGAATTCAAGTTATTTGGTATTATTTAAAATTGGTAAAACTGTTAATGCCGTGTATGTTTTTCAATGATAAACCGCAATGAATTCAAGATTTTTTTCATAGTTGCTTCATAAGTTCCTCTATATCTCTAGTAGCCATTGCAATACGGTAGGATAATTCCTGAACTCATTTTAGAAAAAAATGTAACTTTCGAGATACAGGGTGGTGAAGTTTTCGGCGAAGACTTTTTTCTTTTTTAAATAAGAGGTATTTTCACAACATATTTTTCATTTCTACCAGTGGTGTCCGCATAGCATATTTTTGAAGAAAAAAATTGTACTCTACTAGTCTACTCATTTCTGCATGCGTTTTGCGTCTTGATTAGAATAATTACATTAAAAGTGCGGCTGGTTTTGCAGTACTGACTAATAAATACTTCATATGAATGATTGAATTGAATTGAATGATTTAATTAAAATTGTTGCAAATGGCCACCTCTAATTAACTGATACATAGGTATTGAAAACTTTACCGCTCAAAAATTAAGACCTTTCGGACATACGTTCCCTTAAATGAACTCAAAAAT